GAGGAGGAGGAGGAGAAGCAAGAGGAGGGTGTGTTGGAAGAAGAATGAAGAAGGGAGGAGGAGGAGTTCTTGGAGCAGGAAATGCCGGACGGAAGCAGAGCGCGTGCAGGAGAAGGAGCAGCCCAGAGAGGGTGAAGAAATGGAGAGGAGACGGAAGAAGGAAAACAAAGAGATTATCTCCCCTCATGATCTTCTCCTCTCAACTCTACCATGACACTCCCTTCCCCCCCTCCCTTCTCTCTCTTCTCCTCCCTTGACTGACTTTCGTCCATGGCAGCGCTCGTGCCCTCTACACCCAAGAGGGTCAAATAATGAGGAGCCGGTGGGGAGAAATTTTCATTGACACAGACGGGGGTTATGACAGTCTTTTCGGCCTTATCCTGCTCTTCCTGAATCAGCTGGTGAGATGGAGAAACTGAATCACCTACCTGGTTCAACCTCCTCCTCCTCCTCCTCCTCCTCCTCCTCTCTCCCTCCCTTCCTCCCTCCCTCTCCCTCCCTCCTTCCCTCTCCCTCTCTCTCCCTCCCTCCCCGTCTCCTTCCCTCCCTTCCCTCTGATCTCTTTCTGTCTCAGGTTCCTGATCTTATCACCACCATCCATGGCATGAGCGAATCGCTCTCAGCCGCCAAGACGATCAAAAGGCTGGTCACCTTTCTCGGCTCCTCCTCCGTCTCCGTCGTCCCCAACACAAGCTCTCAGTCTTCCTCCGGCCTCGCTCGCTCTCGCCCAGGCACCGCCATCCTCCGACAAGATGGTTCCGTCCGACGCTCTCCAAGTCGTTTCGGGGTAAAAGCTCCTCCTTTTCCTGTGCTCTCCCCTCCCCTCTTCCCTCTCCCCTCTCTCCTCTCTCCTCTCTCCTCTCTCCTCTCTCCTCTCTCCTCTCCTGCCCTCCCCTCCCCCAATTCACCTCCTCCGCTCTCCACTCCTCTTCATTGTGTCTCCTCACCCCTCTCCTCAATCTTCTTCCTACGAGTCCTCATTTTACCTCTGACTCATGTCTTCTGTCTCTTGTCTCCTTTCTCCCCTCCACCTCACGTTCTCCCTCCTCCATCTACCCTCCCTCCTGCAACGCTCTCTCATACCTCACCCCCCTCTACCTCGCCTCGTCACCTCACTCCCCTGCTCCTCCTCCTCTTCCCCTCCTCCTCTCCAGCCGGACTATCGCCGGCACCTCCGAAGGATCGCCGACATCCTCAACCTCCCTCCTCTTGGGGTCCACGTCGAAGGGCTCACTAGAGCTCCAGGTCAGCTCCCACAGCTGGGGTAGGAGGGAGGAGGTTGACAGGCGAGCAGGAGTGGAGGAGAGGATCTGGAGGGTGGAGAACGACCTGCAGATGCTATCGGCCGTTGCGAGAGAAGATACTTCACAGCTGGAGAAAGAGGTGAGGAGGAGAGAGCTCGGTGGGAGGGAGGAGGGACGGTGGGAGTTCAGGAAGGGTGAGTGAGAAAGAGGAAGAGAAGGAAAAAGAGAAGAGGAACAGGGAGGAGGAGGAGGAGGAGGAGGAGGAGGAGGAGGAGGAGGAAGGGGGGCCATGTATGAATCATTTCTCCCCTCCAAGGTCCGAGCAGTCAAGGAAGGTATCGAGCAGCTTCGATCGATGGGAGAGGACGTCTTCCAGCAGTACTCGGAACCGTGCGAGGACGAGGACAATGCGGCCGTAGCAGGTCAGGAGGAGGAGGAACAGGAGGAGGAAGTTGGGCCGTTCTTGACTTTAACCCCTTCAGCCTTCCTGTCAAGACTCGAGATGAGTGAAGACTTGGGTGAGATGAGGAGATGTGGAAAGTAGAAGTGAAGGCAGGGGAGGACCAGGACTAGGAGGACGAGGACGAGGACGAGGACGAGGACGAGGCGAGGACGAGGACGAGGACGAGGACGAGGACGAGGACGAGGACGAGGACGAGGCGAGGACGAGGACGAGGACGAGGACGAGGACGAGGACGAGGACGAGGACGAGGACGAGAGAGCGAAAGAATGTATGTGCAACGTTCATCATGTGCATTGCAGGCGTGACGGTGCTGTGCCTCGCATCTCTCACCAACATGTCCCTCTGCCTCTCTCAAGACCTCAACCTTGTAACACCCGCCGGCCGCCACGTCAGCACGAGAAAGGAACCTGAACATACTGCAGGTCCAGCAGAAGGTGAGGGAGGTAGTGATCATGGGAGGAGTTGTCTTTCCGCCGCCGCTCTCCACAGAGAACGAGCTGTTTACTCAGGTAGGCAGCGGCCGGCCGACTCGCTGCTGGTATGCGCTGAGGGAAGTTGCTGCAGAGAGGGATCGAGTTCAACTTCTACTTCGACCCTGACGTGAGGACTTGTGAAACTCCCATCGATGCTGCCCGAGCGCATTGACTCCCATCCTTGTATGCTTGCAGTCAGCGCACAAGGTTGTACACTCTGGTCTACAAGTCACGATGATCGGACTCGAGGTCAGAAGAGGAACTCACTCGACTCGTGCGCTCAGAACATGTTGAGATGGGATGATACCGTGATTGTAGGTTGCAAACAGCCAAGTCTACACCATGGAGGAAATCTTGCAAATTTTGGAAACCGACGTCATGCCCGAGGAGGCAAGACAGAACGAACTTGATCTCCTGTCTTGATCTTCTCGTTCAGATTCTGGATGCATCTCTTATCTTACAGACACTCCTGGTAAGTCTGATTTGCTTCAGACCATCATCCCATCTCCTCTCTTCATCTCTTTTCTTCTTTTCTCCACTCCTTCACCCTGTCCAGTCTTTTCCTCTCCTCTGCTCCTCTCACTAACTTCTGCAATCTCCTGATCTCATCCTCAAAAACAGATCAGTTTCGACATGTCAGCAACTTACTCTTCGGTCGCTTGTTTCTACCTGATTCGCCCTGAGTGCTTCAAGTTTGAGGAGGTCATTCCTCCTCTCCTCCTCTCCTCCTCTCCCTCTCTCGCTCTCCCAAGAACTGCCCTACCCTCCTCCCCCCGCTCCCACCTCCCTCCCCTTCATCCTCCCTCCCTCCTCCCTCCCCTTCATCCTCCCTCCCTCCTCCCTCCCCTTCATCCTCCCTCCCTCCTCCGCATCCCTCACGCTCCTGGCAGGTTTGGGTGTGTGTTGACTGCAACACAGGGAGAGTAGAGAAGGCCTTTCCTTCCGATGTTGTTTTGTGACCGATGACAGATGCAGTGCTGACTTCTAGAGCAGGAGAACGTGAAGATCCGAGTCGCTGTCCAGCTGGATCGGCAGGTGGGGGTGTCGTTCGGCGCAAGTCTGCGGGGTTTGACAGGGCCGTTGCAGGAGTACTTGAGCTTCTTGCGGGATCACCTCAAGAACAAGGAGCTATGATGCAGGAGGCTCGGGACGCTGGAAGGGGCAGGGAGCGGGGAGCGGGGAGCGGGGAGCGGGAAGCGGGGAGGAAAGAAAGACGAAAGGGCAGGAAGAGCTTCAAGGGGTTTGTTAAGACTGAGGCAGTAGAGCTAGGCCCTTTAGTGCATCTCAAAACTTTTGATGGCCATAAGCCGCAGTCAGGGACTTCTTCGCCATGGCCTGTCCCTGCTCTGACATCTGGCTACCAAGAACCTGCGTCATAAGAGTCAGCAAGCTGACACGAGAGGGACCAGGAATCGAAAAGTGAAGAAAAGAAGAGGGAAGGGGGGGGGGGGGGGCAGAGGAGGCAGGCAGTTAGGCAGAGACAGGAGGGAAAGAGAGGGACCGGAGGGACCGGAGGGGAGGAGAGGGAGGGAAAAGAGGAGGGAGCTCCTCTTACGTGATGTCGGATGAATCCCTGGGACGGATCCCTCCTAATCATCGGACGCCATGGCCCGTACACTCCCCTGATGCTGACCGTTAAAACAAGATCTCGACAGTGCTGAGACGAACCTGTTGACAGGATCGAAGTCGAGCGCCGCGGGGTGGAACGACCGGCTCAGAGCTGCTGCCACCATTCCGATGACAGCTAGCAGCTGCGAAAAGTTCGTTCATCGTCGATCGAAATTCACAATTCATCCATCTCGCATGCACTGAGTTTGATCACGTTGTACTTGGTGAGTACAAGAGCGCCAACACAATGTGTCTGCTCCTTGAACTCATCTGATCTGATATCATATCACATCACATCACATCACATCATATCATATCATATCATATCATATCATATCATATCATATCATATTAACTCATCTTATCACTTCCATTCTCGTCCCATTGTTTACTTATCGCCATCGATCGCCATCACTCATGTCCTACATCTTCGCATCATCTCCACATTATCGTCTCTTGACATCTTGTCGCATCTCATCCTCATAGCTCCTCTCCTTCATCTCGCGTTCTCTTCGCTCTGCTTCCTCTACTCACCATGATCGCCGCAACTGCTCGCAACCCGACCATGCCCAAGAGACGGACAAAGGCTATCAGACTACCCCATCAATTTCCCAGCAATGGCAGGGGTTGGGTAGTCATGGTGAACAGGGTACATAAAATTCTTGAAAGAGAGGGTAGGGGTAGTCATGAACTGCATGCCATGGCAGGGAGGGGGGCGAGGCGGGAGGGCAGGGAGGAGGAAGAGGGTGAGGGATGGGAGACAAGCAGAGGCAGCTGCTGTTGAGGGGCATACAAGAGCTGTAAGCATGTTCGCTGCATGGCTTCAACACTTTGAGAGGAACGATATTCTTAGAATGCTGCAGAGAGGATTGCAGCGGTGAGAAGCAGATAGCAGAGCTTCAGCGCGCTCTACGTAATGTTCTTGATCAAGTGACATGATGGCTTTAAGACCATGCGTTGAAGCAACAAGACGAGAAACTGATTTCGCTGCCGACAGGCTGGTCCATGCCGTGTTGAGTTTCGCCTCTTAAACCATCGTCCCTGGAGAGCGTTGAACCGGGTCGGAGGTGTGAAACACTCAAATCACAAAGAAATCACTTGTCAGGCTGATCATTGTGTCAGTTGAAGGAAACTGCATCTCAACACATCCAAGAATCCGTGAGTGCAACATGAACAATCAGGTAGCGAGTGAACCCCCTTGTGAACCTGAGATCTCAAGTCTTGCAGCAGATGAACTCTGGGATGCAGCCTGGATATCCCATGGGAGGTCTGCTGTGACGCGCAGGAAGGCTGTTGTTGACGTTGAAGCGCAGGCATGAATCCCCACCAGCTGCATCCCAACTACGCAAACATGCACGGGGCTCCTGGTTCGAAGAGACTGCGCATGTCGATGCAAGCCCATTGATGCGTTTACAGCAGATCCTCGAAATGCTCCGCAGTATCCCCTAAGACAGCAGGTTGTACATGCTTTCTGTCAATGCCGTGGATCTAAAGTGGTCCTCCCAGCAGTACCCCATGGAGTCACACTCCCCGGGCGCAGCTCCCAACGATTTTCAACAAGGTAGACCCCGCAGCTCTTTCCGAACGTGCTATTCTCTCCCTCACCTGCTTACTCTCTCACCCGCCCTTCCTACTTCACTCACTCACTCACGCACTCAGACACTCACTCACTCACTCTATCACTCACTCACTCACTCACTCACTCACTTGCTATCTCCCTCTCGCTTCTCGCTTCTGTTTCCCTCCATGATCTTTTCCCACAAGGGGACTACGGGATGGACAGGGGGTCGGGAGGAGGACTCTTCGATTTCTTGCCTGGAGTGGCAAGCCTCGTCGAGGATCTCGACAAGAGGGTATGAGGACGAGGAAGGAAGCGAGGCGCTGAATATCAGTACGACAGGTCCTAGTCACCCTTCGTGATGGACGCCATTTTGTCGGCTTCATGAGATCGTTCGACCAGTACGGCAATGTCGTGCTTGAGGATGCGGTGAGATGATATCAGCGGCATCCGGACTTCGATGCTAACCGTCCTGCACAGTTTGAACGCCACGTCGTGGGGAATTCTTTTGCAGATGAAAGGGTATTCATTGCCTTTTGAAGTTCCAAATTGTTCATTCTTGGCGAGCAGATGGGATTGTACGTCATTCGTGGAGAAAATCTTGTTCTGTTAGCAGAACTTGACATGCATAAGGTGCTTCAATCACTGAGATTGTTAGAGAGAATGATACACGAACAACAGGAGCAGAACCAACCCAAATTGAGGGAAGTTCCCCTCCAAACCATCATGGCACAGAAGGCTGCTCTCAAACATGAGAAGGTTCACCACGGCATACCGCGACTCCTTTCTGAAATTCCCGTAGGCTGAAGATGAGCTGTTGAGAAAGAAGCTCTCTGCCCAGGTATGAGATTTGATGATGAAGCTCTTTCACCATGCAGGTGTGGATCTTTTTTCTCACTTGACGTGCAGGCCTTGGGTCTTGGTTTCGAAGATTGCCTGTGAGCAACAAGCACCTTGCTGCTCGCCTGACTCGACAGTGTGCTGAAGCGACGTCGGACTCGTTGACCTTGACTAGTGTGATTGGTATGGGATAACGAGAGAACAGTGCGAATGCGATTGTGGAACATCTTGCTCGCATTCAAGAAAGAAAACTATTAGAAAAACAAGTGCTCCTTCACACAACACTAAAGTACACCCTCATCCTGACATCACCGCCGCTGACTCGGCAGGGCAAACCCTGTGCATGGCTCATCGTAAGGAAGAGGAAACAAGATCTCATAGGGAAGGAGTCCAAAGAAGATGGCAGTCACCTGTCTGTGATGGTCCCATGCTCGTCGTAGAGGAAGCAATCCAGGGAATCATCACAGCTCGAGTAGATGCCAAGAGACGGGTCGAACCCCTCAGCTTCTCCTCTCAACAAGAACAGGATCTGTCAAGTCTTGTCATGATTGATGGACCGGAGGCATATGATATCATGTGATCACTGGGAAATGGAAAATTGGCATGTGCTCCCTCTGCTGCAACAACCTAGATACTACGCTGCGTCGTTCAACAAAGTTTCTCCCCACTCTTACAGCACACGATCAGAATCTAACGCACGGCATGCATTCTGAATGAATCATCTTGACAGCATGGATCGTCGGTGCGGGGGCGATAGCTCATGCGCATGATCCCTCACCTCTGTCCTCCTGCCATCTTCCAGCCGCTTCAGGTCTTGGAACATCATTGCGGACCAGCAACTGGAATAGCACACCGTTGCGAAAGCGTTACAGCCCAGACGCCGACCCGGGCCCGCCCCGGACACTGGGAAGTTGAAACAGTGCCGCACCGTGGCACTGCACTTCCGAGCGGCTTCAGCGCCTTCGGAGTCGGAGGACTCACGGTGACCGACGTCACTGGGGAACTAACTTGGAAGTTTATTGTACTGCTACTGGCAATCCGCCTTCATCCAGAAGAGACGCAAGCATCTTGGCGAAGGAATCAACGTCTTCTAAGGGCCAGAAGTGTCCCTGGTAGAATGAACAGTGAGAGTTCAGATTTTGGCGAGTCAGGTTTACCTGTTCGAAGGGGACGAACTTCAAACAACCGAGGTTTCGACGGAGCCAAGCCACATCTGACCTTGATAGCAACTCATGTCTTGTCGAGTACAGCATCCATCCTGCTGGTCACCCGTTGTTGTCAGCAGTGATGTACTGTTCTAAAATTGCGAGTACATGAAACATCCTTCGATACTTTAGCTAGGTCATACTGTCCGACGTGAGGCTCGTTAAATGGGAAGATATCGATAGGAAAGTATGCTGTTGCAGTTGAGATCTCAGATCGATTTCGTGAAAAAAACATGGCTTGTCTCACCGTAGATCGAAGCTTCGATCTCTGGATCTATTGGTAGAAGAACAACGTTGTCCACCCTTCTGAACCCTTCACAATACTTTCGAAAGCTCTCGGCATTCATCCTGCAATGGAATTCATCATAACAGGTTACAACATGGCAGTTCAGTCACGTGCTGTATGGCTTCCTTGCCCGCAGATACCTTGAAGACCGAAACGGAATCCATCAGGAGAAGTATGCAGTATGGAGAAGCTATCACTTGGAGGCTTCTTCTTCACTTGCCCACCCGTTCCTCCTCTTGACGGTCCTTCTCAACTGGAGTGCAGTGGTCACAACTGAGCGTTCGCCTGCGTTGGGATACGACAACACAAGGCAGCGAGTGAGGGGATGGCAGTACCAATGGGTGGATCTGACTAGCGCGTTGCCCCAGGAGACTTTGCACTGTCCTCCACGTGATTCGAACAAGGGGGTGGAACATGGGAGGGTCGACTATGACGAGCTTTTGGAAGAGGTCCGGCCGACGGCCTGCCGCACAACACAAGATGGCTCCTCCGAAGGAGTGACCAAACCCTATCAGCGGCGTTGAGCTGATCTTGTTCCATTCTTGCACGCTCTCGACCAGGTGGTCTGTCATGCTGCGCCAATCTTTCTGTCCTCTCATCTTGTGATGCACGTCGATACCTCGGACCTCACAGCCCATCTGCTCCTTACAGCTTCAGCACCAGATAAGGCCGAATCGTGGAATGTGCGAGTGAGAAATGGAAGGGTAGAAACTCGAACTGCGCAGTGAGCAGGTGTATTGGGGCCAAGAAAACAAGGATGATATGGAGGAAGTTGAATAGGATCGGGCGACAACCCGACACGAGGAATAAGAAGATGATGAGAAGATCAGACAAGAGATGAGATCAATTGAGATAAAGATCAGATCAGATCAGATCAGATCAGATCAGATCAGATCAGATCAGATCAGATTAGATTAGATCAGATCAGATCAGATCAGATCAGATCAGATCGAACAAGGCACAAGGCACATCTTCAAGGTTTCATGCTTCAAACCTGATTCAGCTTGGCTGCTAGAGGAGAGTAACTGGAGGACGTGAAGCCATTGGCACTCAGCAGCGCCACCCGCACCCTGGCCATTTCGATCCTCCTGAGGCGCACTCGGAACAATCCCAGAACGAACCCCGTCGAGCCCTTCCACCTCCTGCCGCCATGTTGCGTGAGGAGGTGGAGGAGGTAGGGAGAGAAGCTTCAACTGAACACGCAATGGACATGCTTGAAGACGTTGAGAGGCGAAACCCGTGGTCTACAGCGCAGGAACTACTGGAGATGGTAGACAACGGGGACCTGAAGCTACCATACGAGACCGTGTCAAACTTCCGACGACTAATCAAGCTGCATGAACGTAGTATCGACCATGAGAGAATTCTTGAGATGACAAACCAGGGACTGCAGCTTGAAAGGTGCGGAAGATCATGCTTTGACTTCATGGTTCGCATGATCGTGACTTTGAAATCTAATTCGGCACTTTGCAGGGACATATTTCTTGCGAAAATGAGGGAAATCGATGGAATATGTGCAATGGGGCTTCACTCTGACATCGAAACAGTGGGTCTTGAGTCTCATGTGCTTATGAATGCTCAGGAGGTGCTACATAGTGAGAACAGTACATTTGTTGTCAAGCAAGGCTTCGTGTAGAGAATGGAGAGACAAAAGATTTATAAAGATGAAAGAAAAATTGAAAGAATATACGTTGGTCGGGACGGGAGAGAAGGTCAGTTTCTCGGCTTCTACTAGAATGTCAGGTTCTGTGTTGGTCAGAACGTCAAATCCAAGAACCTTGATGGCTTCGATTTCCTGCTTTGTCTTCGACTCCAGCAGCTTAAGAGCATACTGTGACGCCGCCTGTACATCATGAGCAAGTTCACTTGGCTCTAGAAATTCGTTACATATTTTGCATCCTTGGAGCTCCGGCCAGTCCCCCAGCCAAGAGGGTGGCCATTTAAGGACAGATGAACCGTGAACTTTGGTGCATGTTCGACGCCTGCCAAGGGAATGAGTACCTCAAGACTTCGCACAAAATTCGAATAAGATTGCCTTCTTTGACGACTTTGTAACATGGTTCAAGTCCTAGCTGCTTCGAGAAGTTCATGACGGAAGATATCGGATCCATGGTAAGAATTGTAGACGTTTCCATCTTTGCAAATTTGGTTTTATATAGCCTCTCGATGACCATTTGTGCGCATTGATAACCCTGGTCTACAAAAACTGCTCCGATGACTGCCTCGACCGTATCTGCAAGAATCTTGACATTGCCCCTTCCCCCGTAACCTTCTTCCTGGAAACTCATGAAAAGGAGCTTATCATAACCCTGCTCCAGTGCTATCTCCGCAAGTGCAGCAGTTGAAACTAAGTTTTGACGCGCTAATGTTAGTTCTCCTTCGTTCAAACCCTTGCGTTCCTCGTAAAGCTTCTCTGCCACTACACATCCTAACACTGCGTCGCCCAAAAATTCCAGACGCTGGTTGCTCTCCAAACGGCTCGCTGTGATTGAGGGATGCAGCAGTGCTTGCCTAAGAATGGTAATGTCCTTGAATTTGACACCAAGAGCTTGTTGCAAAGACGTCATTTGACCGTCGGGTCCATGTTTACCAGCGTCTGGCTCGACTCTGCCATGTTTCTGCCTTCTCCATTTAGGCGCTGCATCCAAAGTGAAGTGTCTGTTCGGTTTCACGCATGACTGGACCATGCCGTAATCTCTATTCAGAAAGTAGACTGTTGTGAGCTGATGCACAAATCCGAGAGTTCTGTAGCCATTCATTTGACGGCCAAGCATTTTCAGAAGAAGCGTACTTAACGCAGGGTGTCACGAAGCAGTAACAAGTGTCCGGTACGGACCAGGGCGAAGTGAAATCGTGACCCAACACTGGAGAAGGAGGAAAGGGGGAAGAGGAGGGAGGATGAGTGTGGAGGAGAGGAGAAGGAGAGGTAGCTGTCACAAACCAGCAAGATGTCAACAGTAGCGGCGAGAGCAGGCACGGGACTTCATGTAACCACAATGAAACGGCCCCTGAAAAATCATTGGAGGGGGTGGGGGTCATCAGCTCACCCACCGTTTTCCTGCAAATGGTAGCTAAAAGATCCGGTAAAAGTATCAGGGCAGTCCAGGAGTGGGTAGGGTATAACTATACTATATAATCGCTCTGGAGCCACAAATAAGGTATTATTGGGGATTTGGTCTAGCGGTATGATTCTCGCTTTGGGTGCGAGAGGTCCCGGGTTCGATCCCCGGAATCCCCCTGAGAAGCGACCCCATCCTTTTTGTTGCTGACGTAAGGTTGGGACGAGCTAGGAACCGTCCATGTCGCTCCAGCAGCTGCCTCCCACTCCCATCCCTGTCGCTCATGCTCAGCCTCTTGCTTCCTCCTTGTTGCAGTCTTCACATTTTTGCTGATCCTGCATCCCATTTGATCACAGATGTCCCAACTAAACGACCCGGCTCGACAGCCCTTATCTCCTAGTCGAGTCGTCGGTAGTGATTCGTTGAAGCCAGGCCGCTGGTTCAACTTGAACTCGAGAGGAGACGTTGTTGCACTGGGCCTTGAACCTTCTCCCCGAGGTTCCAGTGGGTTCTTCATCCTCAAGGATCATCCCAGTTGTCGCTTCTTTGCTCGAACGCTCCCTTCCGTTCATGGGCCTGAACGAGGCGATCAGATACTGTGGGAAACGGACCTGGAGGTGGCGGCAGAGGATGTAGAGCTGGTGATAGGGGAGATGCTCAAACGCGAGCAAGCCATCCATATCAACACTGGAGTGCACGGTCGACTCGATGGGACTCTAGAGAGCGCTGTGGCTGATTCGATTGACTTCTTCGTGGAAGATTTCAGCCTGATACAGAAGCTTGAGAAGAGCTCGCAAGTGTCCATCCACTGTGTGACTGCGCAGGCCAGACCTTTTGCTCCCCCCAAGGCCAACATGATCATCAATGCATGGTGTCACAGCCATGCGTACGACTTTGTTGGAAAGATGGATCCGACCACCGGGGAGGTACCGAAGGACAAGAACGTGGAGTACCTGTGCAACATGCTTCCGAGGAAGATGCGAAAAATCATCATGGAGGAGACGCAGGAGTACAGCAAGCAAGATGCCTCGGAAAGCTACCTGGAGAACTATTGCTCTGACACGAACCCCGACGTCAGTGGCTCGATTGAAAAGGTACCCTGCAGCCCAGTGGTGCAGCGATTCTTAGAGGATCGCCGCAAGCATGTGTTGCTGGTGCAAGGCCAGGCTGGTGCTGGAAAGTCTACCATTGGCAAAAAATGGGCGATCGAGATCGGAGACAACTGGGAGGTCGGAAAGCTATACCCCATCTTCATATACCTTCCAACTTTTGTTAGCATCGAAATGTATTTGCAGAAAGCTATAGGACAAGAGTTGAGTGTTGAGGACAGGGAAAGATTCGTTCACAATAAGGCCTTCTTTGTTGTGTTGGATGGCTATGATGAGATGGGTATCAAGAAAAATGTTGTTGAAAAAATCTCCCGTGAACTACATGGGTGTAGGAGTCTCAAAGCCTTGATCACTTGTCGCAGTGACTACCTGAGGAGCGACGGAACCTCTCATAGGCTTTTTCGGTTGCCAGAGACTGCGAAAGACAGCTTACAAGTCATTTGGCTGTGTCCCTTGGATCTTTCAGATAAGGAGCATGTGAGCCGGTACGTCGATTATCACTTGTCAACAATTCAGGATGAAGGCGGATGGACGAAAGAGCAATACGAAGAAGCACTGGAAACTATTCCTGTTCTCAATCGCATGGTAAAGACTCCATTTTGCCTCAAGGTGACCCTTGAAATGCTCCCGAGACTGCACAGACCCGACGATTCTGACTTTCGGATAACGCGGCATGACATTTACAACGAATACGTCCACGAACGCTTTGAGCTGGAATGGCGCAAACTTGTCAGAACGCCGAATCTAGAGATGAAAAGGAACGGAGTCGGCATCAATGATGAGAACTGCATTGAATGGTACTGTACTGCCGCTCGTGCTTTGTGCATAAGAATGCATCAGCTTCACTCAGACAAACTCTGCCTGAGACCCAACGATGATTTTTTTGCCGGGGCCCCCTTTCACATTCCCACCAACAGAACTGGGAGCCTGGAAGGCGAATTGGGTTACTGGCTGCTGAGAGGTTGTCTTACCTGCCTGAAACGGCAACTTTCAAATGAAACTCTGTCGGAGTCCTTGGAGATAACCTTTGTGGACGAGACATTCAGAACTTTCTTTCTCGTGGACTCCATACTTGCGAACTTGAAGGTCGAAGGCTCAGTGCCGATAGGTTTGAGCCTCCGCAACCTGAGGGAGGAGCCGGAGATCATCGCGGAGCTGGCAGAGCTTGTGAGGGGCAATCCCGACTACCAAGACAGGTTGTTCAGCCTCATACACGTTTCGAGAGCTCCAGAGATAGCGCCGGATGTCGTCGCAGCATCGGCGAACGCAGCCTCCGTCCTTGTTGCAGCTGGTGTGTCATTCTCTGGGCTCGACCTTCATGGCGTCCGGATACCAGGAGCAGTGCTGCGGGACGGAATCTTTCACAAGACCAACTTTGCGGGAGCGGATCTTTCGGGCGCGATCCTCACTTCAGGGTATTTTGAAGAGGCATGTTTCGATGGAGTAGCAGGTGAAGGAGCACAAAACCTTGTGGGGGAGAACGGAAGCTTGTTGTCCTCCGGCTCGGGTGAGAATGGAGAGAGTTTTGAGGTTGGTCAGGAGGAAGCTATCTCCATCGATTCGCTCATCGCAGAGATGGAGAACTTGTCTTTGGGCGAAGACGAAGCGAGCTGTAAGATGGAAATCGATGTTGGAGATCGAATCGAAAGATTGGTAGGACGCAAGGACCCTGTGTCCGAGTTGAGGTGGAGGCAGGATGGAAAGATGCTCGCATGCCTGTCCCTGAACAACACTGTCCGGGTGTGGGAGGTAGAGACAGGAGAATGCCGTCAGGTCATTGCGTTCACGGCTGAGGAGGGATGGATCAGAAGTTTGGCCTGGAGGCCTGACGGCAAGAAGGCTCTGGCATGTGTGGACGGGGAGGGATCAGTCATGCTCAGAGATGTGGGGACTAAAAGTCTCTTTGTGGAGCTGATGGGACATGACGATTTGGTCGAGGAAGTGAGCTGGAGGCCTGACGGGACGATGCTGGCCTCTGGGTCCCACGACGAGACAGTGCGGGTCTGGGAGGTAGCGACTGGGTCTTGCTGCCAGGTGCTCGCTGGACATTCGAAGTGCGTCGAGAGCGTGAGCTGGGGGCCTGACGGGAACATGCTAGCCTCTGGGTCCTACGACGAGACAGTGCGAATCTGGGAGGTAGCGACTGGGTCTTGCTGTCAGGTGCTCGTAGGGCACGAGGGCTGTGTCGAGACCTTGAGCTGGAGGCCTGACGGGAAGATGCTAGCCACCGGAGCATGGGATAGGACAGCACGTGTATGGGAGGTAGCGACTGGGTCTTGCTGTCAAGTGCTCAGGGGTCATGAAGGCTGGGTAGAGAGCGTGAGCTGGAGGCCGGACGGGAAGTTGCTAGCGACAGGTTCATACGACGAGACAGTGCGAGTATGGGAGGTGGAGACTGAGACTGGAAGGTGCTGTCAGGTACTCAGAGGGCTAGATGGAGGCGTGAAGAGCGTGAGCTGGGGGCCGGATGGGGAGCAGCTTGCCTCAGGTTCAACAGATGGATCGGTGAAGGTTTGGTACCTTTCCAAGCGTCATGGTTGCTACCTTCTAAAACGCCGACTTTCTTCAAAGTAAAGGGTACTTACCCGGGCAGTCACCTTCACTGATAGATAGTGGTCCACCACGGTACCGCCGCTGACCAGGCTCTCTGACTCGTGAGTTATATGTGTCAGTCGTTTACTCCCCATCCCAGTCAAGGCGGCCCTGCACTGCCGCTGCGTGCGGCCCGGCCAATCGACTGAACTTTGACGTCACTTCAGAACAAAACTTGAAAGTGCATTGCCGCCCGGCCGGGCGGCCCGGCCGGGCCGGGGTCGCCACCAATGTGCACTGCCGCATGTCGGAGTCCCCCACTTATAAGAAGAATGCACACCTTCCCTCCCTGCCCGGCTTCCCCTCCCTGCCCGGCTTCCCCTCCCCGCCTCCTCCGCATCCAACTCCTCCCCTCCCCTTCCACCCTTCTCAACATGGAACTTCCTGCCCTTCTCTCCTCCACATCCCTCCTCAACCCCCCCTCGTTCGCTGCTCCTCGTCCTCCATTCCTCACCTCCCCTCCCCTCCCCTCCCAAAGTGGAAACAAGCATGCCAGCCTGTTCTTACCGTCAGTAGAGCTGCTTTGACTCGATGCTGCAGGTGAGGCACATGCGAAGATCCTTCCTGGTCACAGCAGGTAAGCCGCACCACATGAGCACCAGAGGTTTACCTGACTAGCTACAGCCTTGTGGTTTCAGTGCACAACTGCAAGCATGGGCTCAGCTCCACGACTCTTCTCGTCTGCATGGTCTGCCTACAGCTCTGCTCTGCGCTCCCATCCCCTCACTACCAATATCGTGACGAGCGGCTGCATCACAGTTGCCTCAGACACCATCGCACAGACTGTGAGCAAGGGCGACGAGTGCCGGCCGTTCCCGCACTACATCGACCCGAAGAGGACCCTCACCATGCTGGGCTGGGGAACAGCAGTATCGGGGTTCGGGATGTTCCACTGGTTCAAGTTCCTTGAGCGGCTGATCCCTTCGGAGAACATCACTCCAGGCAAGATCGCAGCTAAGGTGCTCATTAACCAGGTTTGCTTCCTCTCCCTCCCTCTCCCTCCCTCCTCACCCGCTCCTCCTCCCCCAACAGATCGGTCTGGCTCCAACCTTGAACGGAGGCTTCTTCGGCGTGTCGACGGCCAGGCATCACGACCTCGGGACAGCGGAGGGACGGGGAAGGTGAAGGAGCAGGAGCAGGAGCTGCTGGGGTGTGATGGAGCAGCAGGTGGCTGCGGGAATGGAAGGAGAAGATACCCTCTCCCTCTCCCTCTCGTCATTCAGTCCACCAGCTTCTGGTGAACTTCTACGTGGTGAGATCCCCTGGCGCTTGCTCACTTGCTCCACGGCGTGCAGGTTCCCCCGCATGCTCGAGTTGTCTTCGCCAACATGGCCTTCTTCTCCTGGACCATTTGGCTCTCGATTGTCGGGTACCGCAGGCCGAAACTTGAGATTGCTGTCAACCCCAGCCTGGCCAGTGCCTAGGAAGCCTTGAGACTAAGGGCGGGCAGCCTTCGAGCTCCTGTAAGTCTCCGAAGCAGACGCGGGGAAGTCGACGACTCCCCTTGACGAGCCTTCCTGCCCCGCCGCATGAGAGTCGCAGCTCCCTGGGTGCTCATGGCAGTAGGCAGGATGGAGAGGAGACGCGGGGATGCCTGGAGAGAAAGTCTTGAGGATACAGCATCGGCCCTCGCTCCTCCCTCCTGCACCTCGAGCCTTCATGCGCTCCCTCAGTACAGACAGCCTCCTCCTCGCATCTCCCAGGTCCCGCACGGAGGAAGAGCTCCACAGCCGCTCGGCTGCTGCTGCCGCCCGCGGCCAGATTTTCTGATGCAGGTTGGTCTCGTCGACCTGCCCTCTTTTGTGAGAAAGAAACGTTTGTGATGCCCCGCTACCTGCTCGCTCCACATGCAAACTTCTCCACCGAGTACCCGGGCGCAAAGATCTTCAGTCACGTCCTTGGAAGAAGTCACCCTCGCTGCCTTCTCCTCCCCTCCTCCTTGTGTTGTCTCCGCTCCTCCTCCCCTCCCCTCCCCTCCTATTCAACTCTGTTCTCCTGCTCCTCCCATCCACTTCTCCTTCCAGCCTCCTCCCCTTCTTTTCACCTCTCTCCTCCTCCCTTCCCCTCTCTTCTCCACCTCCCTTCCCTTCTTCTTCTCCTCCCCTTCCCTCCCTTCTGCTCTCTTTGCCACCAGCTCACCTCGCAAGGCTCGTTGCTGTAGATCACCTCCCAGCTCTTGAACGGGTCGCACCATGACCTTCCCCCGTCAATGAAACTCCCGCTGTTGACACACCTCAGTCGCAGGCAACGCAGCGCCTCCCGCCAGACCTCCCGCAGTCCAGGTACCAGGCATCCGCGTTCGAGACGACCACGTCGAAGCCTTGCTCTGCGATAGAGAGAACAGCCTCCTGCCCCTTCCACACCTCCAGCCCCCACCGTCAGCTCTCCCTCCCTCCTTGCCTCCACGTCCTACCTGCACGATCGTACCGGAAGGCAGCTGGAGTCCTTCATCGAGCACGTCCTGGGCCCTTGTCAGAGTCGATCGGGAGGAAGTAGAAGCTGTGCACCTGCCATACGATCGCTCGTCTGCCGAGCTCGTGCGTGAAGGCAAGGACGTGGTCCTCAAAGAACTGCCACAGGGCCGAGAAATCTTGGAAGCCTTGTTGACGCATCCTCCGCTTCAGTGCCGCGTCTTCGTCCCAGCATCGGTAGTTGACCTACAGGCATCTGAGAAGCTTCCTCCTTCCTCGCTCCTCCTCCCCCACCTCTCACCTCATCTCCTCCTATGTGAACGGCGCGATCCGGGAACAAACGCGTCACTTCCTCCAGTACGGTCCTCACGACCTCGAAAGTCTCGTCCTTGGTCGGATCAAGTTGACCGCACGGCGGCTCAGCGCAGTAGAGCTCCCACGGCTGCTTCCCGGCGCAACTGACGATGTCAGGGACTCCGGTCCAGGAGAAGGCATGGCCGGGCATGTCAATCTCCGGAATCACTCGCACTCCTCGCTGCCTCGCACTCTCCACGACAGCCCTGACGTCCTGCTAGCTCTCAGACGAGGGCAAGCTGGGAGCGGCTGACCTCGGCATCGTAGACGGAGCTGTTGGAGTACGCTCCCCACCCAGAGAGCTGCTGGAACCTCCTCGTCCTCAAGGGGAAGCTCGTCGCGTCCACTATGTGCCAGTGGAGCACGTTGAGCTTGACCATGGACATGGCGTCCAACGTCTCGAGGATGAGAGGGACGGGGATGAAGTTTCGACTGCAGCTCACCAAAGTCATCTTCCTCATCTCTCTTCCTCCTCCTCCTCATCATCATCATCATCATCATCATCATCACCACCACCACCACCACCACCACCACCACCATCATCATCACCATCAAATCAAGTCGCAGCATCCCACCTTGTGTCCAGCAGAAGCCCCCGGTGGTCAAACTGAGGGCGATCGGAGATCGAGATCGGGGCGAACGGAACGACCGACGTCCCCCCGCAGGACCTGAGCAGCTGCACGACAGTCTCGACAGACCGCACAAGCCCCACAGCACTTCCTACTGAGATGAGGATGGAAGAGGAGTTCGTATCCTCCTCCTGGTCCATGGGGCAGACCTCGCATGACCCAACCTTGACTTCATACTCCTCCATGGACCGCTGGGCGGCGTCCTGCAAGACCCTGACTCTGACGGTCTCAATGGCGCAGGTGACTTGAGCTGCGTCGCATGCTGGTAACGCTGCTGTCCTCTCCTCGTGCAAGGAACGCAGACGACTGAGAGACAGCGAGGTAGCCGGCCAGCTCAAGACCTCCTCGTCCACCTCCACCGTGTAGCCTCGTGGTAAGGTGAGGACAAGGGAGCCATGGGAGACATGGAGCGGCAGGGGGAACAGCGATATCTCCCCATCAGAGCACGATGTTGGTGTCAGTGAGGAAAGAAAGCTCAGACAAAGAGCGAGGCAGCGCCATGGAATGAAAGTCTCTCCATGACGAGGAGGCATTCTCTCCCTGCTCCCCGCTCCTCGCCCAGCTCCCCGATCGCACTCTGACTCCCTGCTGCCTCTAACTCCTCACCCTCTCACTCATGCTCTCCCAGCCATGCAGCTACATCTGCCTACCGAACTTTGATGCTCCTCTGGCGATCGACCCTCTTCACGCTCTCAGCAAGAGGTCAACGAGGGGAAAGTGCCTCCTCCTCTCCCCTTACTGACTGTGATGACAGACCTCCTCCATCTTACATTCCTGCTCCTCCTTCCGACCGATCCTACCCAGCCTCACCCCCTGCGTCCTCCTGAGCTTGATCGGCCCGCTTGCTCTTCATCTCCTCCTCGTCCTGCGGGCAAGGCGGCTGCCCTCCCTTCTCTGCTTCCCTCCACCTGCCATGCCCTACTCTCCCCGATAAAATACAATTTTGAGTTGCCCCTTTTATGTCCGACTGTTGCAATCATGGACAGCGCAAGGTAGACGAGGAGTCGCTATGCTCCCTCCCTCTCCCCCCTCCCTCTTTCTTGCCACCCTCCTCCCTCCTCCCTCACCATTCCTCCTTCTTCCCTCCTCCCCGCTCCCCGCTCCGTCCTCCCTGCTTCTTTCTCCCTGCTCCCCTCCTCTCCCTACCCCGGCCTCTTTCCATGGGGTATCGCGCCTCTACCTCCTCGCTCCTCGCTTGCCCATGTCCTGCTCACTCGGATTTTTTTGCCATCAAATCCTCTGTCTCTCATTGCATGCTCGTCAACCTCTGTCTCTCTCCCTCCCTCCCTCCGCTCCTTTCTCTGTCGCTCATTTCCGATTGCCAGTAGTCCGCAGAAACGTCCAGTCGAGGATTATGTCTCTATGTTCGACATGCTGGACTCCCAGACAGGTTCAAACCTGCGCGATGCTTCTTCCCTCTTGCCCTCCCTTCCCTCCTTCATCGCAACCTCCCTTGCGTCTTCTAGACCTCCAATACTTCCCTCTTCTCACCCTCCCCTGCTAGTCTGCGCTGTTGTCGACAGCCTCGACAACGACGAGGAGATCATCTTGCAGCTCGAAGAGATGACGCACAGCTGCAAGCCAGAGGCGTTCACGGTGAGTCAAGGGGGGGAGGTGAACCTGTACGGCTGTGACGCTCGTTGGAAGGAGCTGAAGGAGATCTTCCCTGACATCAGTTACGAGACTCTGGACACTCTCTTCTCCCTCTTCGGAGACGATGGGGACAAGGTGCAGCAGCACTCGCGTGAGATTGAGAGGAGGAGCTCTGATCCCCACACAGATAGCTCAGTTCCTCCTGAGAGAGGTGGAACCTGATGAGTGGGAGGACGAAGACGAGTACGACTTCGCACCAACGACGAGGAAGAACAAGAGGGGAGTGCCGCTGGAGGTAGAGTTCGGCTCGGGGCCAAGAGTCTTCGAAGAGGCTCCAGTGCCGGAGAATGCTTGGCTGCAAGGGTCCGAGCCTGTCAAGGAGAGCCTTGCCAGGTTCATCAGTCTTGTTTGAAACTTGTTGTCCTTACTGAGCTACAGTGATGGCTACAAGACAGAGTACAGCAGTGGGTTCCAACACAGCTCTGCCTGTCCGAAGACTCTCCCTTCCTATAGCGCGTATCGGTCGGAGACTCTCCCTTCCTACAGCACGTATCAGTCGATCGCGAGGCCGCATCAAAGCTGTGAGCAGGAACTCACGGAGGATGAGCGAGCAGGAGGCGGCCAAGTCAGTGAGACTGAGTGGGTCAGAGTTGGAGGTCGGGCGACCCAGTAAGTTGAATTTTCTGTGCGTGAGAAAGGTGAAGTAGTGCAGGAAATCGAGCAGTCAGAACAACAACATCCTTGAGAGCATGCGGAGATTACCTCCCGAAGAACTGAGAAGGCTGGAATCAAACTTGAAGACCTACTTGACAAGGGTTGTGCTCTGTTGTTGTTGTCACGTCAAAGTTTGTGACGCCCGGTCCCTAGCATGGTCTGCGTGGTTGTGAGCTTTCAAACATGCTTTCACAAGCAGCAAGGGGTAATCTCTTCCAGCAGAACAATGCCAAGAGCCGAGAAAACAGGTTCGATGCCAATGCTCTCTCCTTCCTTCACACGTTCTGCACAGAAAGTTGGACTTGCATCAGTTGTACGTGGAGGAAGCTTTGGAGGAACTGGAGGTGGACTTCCTTTGATGTTCCTGCTCCGTCTGACGACAAGGCTGAAGAAATTCCTGCGTGACATTGCTCCTCGTGAGCCGAATGAAGTTGTCACCGCCGAAGTGCTCTCATTGCATTCACTCGATCGAGGCTGACTGAACACAGATTGTGGTGGGAGTTGGAAATCATTCCAAAGGCGGACGTCCCAAGATCAAACCGAATGTTTCCACTCCCTTCTTCCTATGTTGCCTTGAGATGACTGCTCCTGCCAGGTCATAGAGTTCTTGGATGTGAACAACATCGGGTACCGAGAGCTGAATCCCGGGAGCCTGGAAGTCTGTCTCAAGAGGAGGAAGCTTAGGGGAGGTTCCCTTTATTGACCAGTGTAAACAGACGAGGATCGAGAAGATCTTACTTGTTACTTCAATGTCAAAAGTCAAGAGATAAACTCTTCAACGGAAGGCCATTTTGTCTTGAAGGTAAGCTGCGGCAATGGAGGAATGTGTCCATTTTTAGATGGCAGTGCTGTTCTTGAGCACCGAAGTTGTTCCATAACCTGCCATCACAACAAACATCTCAGCTAACTCGCTGCAAGTGGGCGGGCAAGACCGTCATAGTTGGGATAGTTCATGTTCATGTGGGGCATCCCTGTATGCCCTCCGTTCAGACGGGCCCACCGTCGCACCTCCAAACTCACCAGGGAGGTTGGTCATGCCGTTGGGAAGGGGTGCGGTGGTCAGGCTCGCAGCTGCGTCGCTGCGTTCGAGCATCTGCTTCAGGAGGTTGCCCTCCTCCGTGCATCTCCTGCGGAACTCATCCACCACCTGCTCCCCACAGCAGCTGGTCAGAACCACCCTCGGCAGGATACAACAGACCTCCTGCAGCCTAGCAACATCCTGGTCCGTCCGACGGCGGTACTCGTCGACGACTTGCTGGATTCTGATCTTCTCGTCCGACCACATCCTTCGGTACTCGTCGTCTCTTCGCTGCATGGCCTCAGCCCACATCCTCCTGTATTCCTCGTCCCTGAAGCACAACAGCCATTGTTAGTGGAGGAAGGGGGGGGGCGTGCGGCAAGAATGGGCGCACCTTCTCTTCACAGCGTCTCTTAAGGTTCGGAGCTGGTGTTCAGCACTTGACTCTGTCTGCCTCAAAGCAGCGCCCAGCCTCTCCTGCTCTCTCCTGACGTCCTCCGAGGCCCTGGCCTGGGACTGCCTTAGCGCATTGTTCAGCCTCTCAATCTCCGCCTTCGCCTGAGATCGCAATCAGTCAAGATCAGAGAGGCGTCATCTATTTACGGCTCTCAGATCGGCCTGGCTGCGCATCATCTGCAAGAAAGTTGTCGTCAGACTTGGTCGATGCCATGACTTCTGCTGGTACCTCTTCGTCTTTCAACCTTGACGACGCATATTCGGCAAGCTGCACGCGCCAATCTGCTCCGAGTTGATTCCTTCCATACGAAACTTGCGAGTCGTCATAAGATGTCCTTTGCCCTGCTCCTCCAAGCCCCCCGCCGCTGCGATTGCCGTAGCCTCCCAGCATACCTGACGATGTGCCACCGTACGTACCCGCACCACCAAGTCCTCCACCTCCGAGTCCTCCACCAAGGCTCCCTCCTCCACCATACCCTGCTGCATTTCCAGCTCCTCCAGCTCCTCCAGCTCCTCCTCCTCCTCCCAGCATGCTGCTGTTTCCGCCATACATGCCCCTACTACCGCTGGCCATCCTCGGCGTTCGGGTCAATTGTAAATTTTTGTCACAAGCGGGGTAGGGGGTCAAAAAGTACCCCGTCCCTTACCTTCACATCCTTGAGCAATGCCGGGTAGTGCGAATCGACTACCCACCCGAAATCTGCGCTGGAGTGGCAAAAAAAAGTCATCCGTTAGTCAAGAACCCGCTGAAACTGCCATCACTGACGAAGGCTGCGTCAGTGCTCTGATCCCGGAAGTTGCGCCGTCACCGTGAGTCGGAGCGCGGCACGCCGGGCGGTGGCCCGGCCGTGCTGCACTCGGGGCAGCTCATCGTGCGATCGCGGCAAGTTTCAAGTTCAACTGTCTCCTCTGTGCTTTTGCTTTTATATAAAGTGAAGTTAAACTAAACTTTGAACTGTACGAGCCTCGGACAAACCTCTCTTTAACAATGTGAGTATCATGGGTTCACAATCTCTTTACTGAAAGTTAAGTTAAAGATCCTGTTCGACTCATGATACTGCCAGGGCTGCCACGGTTATAGGGTCCCGGCTCAGCCCGGCGGGTCAGTGGCGGGATCGGCCCGTGACGCGTTGAATCGAAGAGGCTTCGTATGTTTGAGGTGACTAGTGACTCAAAGTTACTACAGACCAGCCTGAGACCCTCGGAACTAGCCGGGCAGTATCATGTGGTGGTTGATTTAAGACATGCCCAGTGCCGGCGCAGCATGAATTGCGACTGTTCGCTTTCTTTTTTTTCCGGAATGCTACTGTCAAGGTGAAAAGGTTGCGAAGAAGTCAGGTGGGGAGGGGGTCCTCGGAGTATCGGACAGAAGGAGGGAGAGGGAGAGACCGAACCCAACAGGCTGTTGACATGATGTATCAATTCCTTTCGCTGTTTGGACGATTGCTGAAGCCCCAGCAAGTCACTCCTTCGAATGCAAACGCCTTCTGGATCCCAGAAATCCTCCAAGATGAAGAAGATTACGTCCGGGTGTCGTTTCCATCCGTAAGACCCCAACTGTCCTTGCTGCAGCAGAATCCCAAGCTTCTGGTCGAGTATGCCTTCCTGGTTCTTACTGTTTCCCTTGGCTCTGTCCTGATCTTCCTGAACAACCCAGAAAGTCAGGCCGACCCCACTTGTATCTTCGGCTCTATTCTATTCAACACAGCTTCCTGCCCTTGGTCAAGCTGGTCCAAGATCTCGTTACCCACGGCTTTCAGCTGGAGATTTTGCTCCGGGCCGAGAACCTCTTGCTGTATGCCTTCATTGGCGCAGGCCTCGGCCTCTCATGGCCGTACGTCGAAGACTGGCCAGGGCAGTTCGGGAATCCTCTTTTCGAGGCTGGGATTGTCTACTGGATGTATCGAGCTCTTTTTTTCGTGCCCAACCCTGAAGATGAAGTTCCAAAGCTCGAGAAACGGATCGCCGAGCTAGAGCGATCCACCGCGATGGGGCTGGCTGATGGGTATTTCTACAACTTTGTTGCATTTGTCTCGCAAATGCTGAAGGATTATCAATCCCGCTTACCCAACCCTATCCCTCTGGAAGTCAAACGGGCTCAGAAAGAAATTTTCAACTGCCAACTGGAAACTCCCAGACTGACAGTGTTTGTACCTCGAAAGCTCAACGTTGATTCATCTTGCGCAAACCGCAGTCTTAGCGAGGTAGCACAATTTGCCATGGAACTGAAGAAGAGAAATTTTGCCATCGATTCCACTCTACAGGCGTCGGGAGATCTGGGGAATTACAGGTATCTTCCAGCTCGAACCATCATCATGGACCCTTCGCACCTAGAATTGTTCGAGGGATCGACAAGAGATGGATACTTTGATCTACCCACTCCTATCGGAATCCTCGTTTGGAATGCTCTGGACGATACCGAGCTGCATACAGATAAAGAGCGAGTTCAGCGTGTGCAAGAGGAGTTGAATGTGTTTGTTGCTCGTCTATCTTGGCATATCAAACGCAAAGGCCTGGAAGACATGGTTGAGATCATTCAGATCCCTTCATTCAGTCCAGATGAGGTCGAAAAACTTTATGGCATCATGGTTGCAGCCATCCATGATGAAAAGACAGGTTCAGGGCAATCAGAATCTGCAACATAGAAATTCACTGTGAGGATGTTGAAACAAGGCCATAAACTCTCATGACCTGCTTCAAGTAGAATAAAGTTCTATATCAGCTTTCATTACCTCAAGTAGAATAAAGTTCTATATCAGCTTTCATGACCTCAAGTAGAATAAAGTTCTATATCAGCTTTCATGACCTCAAGTAGAACTGGCTCCGGGCAAGAGGGCCCTAAGGACTCATGCCGGCCCGGGAGACTGAGACCCGGCCGGGCTGCCAGAGACTCCGAGGCTGCTTGTACGGTCCTGCTGCTTGTCGGAGTCTCAAAGGTCCTGGGCGGGGATGTGGGCAAAGGAATACGACCAGTGGGACGAGTGCAATGTCCAGGTTGCAAGATGACGCAGGAGAGGGAAATCGAGAAGCACGAGCTCATGCTGCTTAGAGGACGAGCAGACTGACTCCTCAGACCTCTCGTCCTTCGTCCTCGTGACCCCCCCTCGGGCAGTCTCGTTGGAGATGGGGATACGACTGTTCTTGCTTTGTGCGAGCGTTCTTCTCGCTGAGACGTTGAAGTGCAGCGACGCCAGGATGAGTTCTGGCCAACTCCTTCCTGCCTTGCGCGATGATGCACAGCAGCGCACAAAGATGAGAGGTGCGATCAGGTGTCTGCGGCTCAGAGGAGGGGAAGATGAGTACATAACTCAGGAAGACGTGAGACGAGGAGAAGAGTCGGAGGAGGCCTCCGACTCCGACCCCTCCTCCTCATCGTTCGACCAGATGTCAAGGGAGTATCGACTGGCTTGCATGGTCGAGATCCCGAAGAAGCGGATCGAACTGATGAACCCGGATGAATTCTTCGCCTACCTCCGGGAAGACCCGGACGGTCTGAAACCTGGAACGATGTTGGACGTGTTGGGCATCAAGTACGACGGAACTTTTGACAACGAGACAACCTGTGTCATGCAGATCCGGATCGCGATCGAACGGGCACACTATGGCTCCCTCAGGAAGGCTGTTCACAACGCCTGTCAGATACCATGCACGCCACGGATGATAGAAGCGTTGAAGGTGGCAAAGGAAGCGGGAACTATCCTAGAGAGGAAAGTACAACCCAAGATGTTCTGGGACTTCAACAACACCGAGGGTCCTCGGCTGATCAAGACTCTATACCGACTTGGACCGAGGGCCCCTGTTCCTGAAGGGCTGGCCAAGTCGTATGCAACGGCAGCAGACTCCTTGTTTGGGCCAAGGGACGGAAAGACGAGGTTGAGAATAGACCCGTCCATGACGATGGAGGAGAACTTTGCACTTTGGGATGCGTTAGAGTCTGAGTGGCTAACGAAGGAGATGCTGAAGGACTACGACAAGCTCATCTTTGAGGACCCGTACCTGGAAACTATCTTTCAGACGAAAGTCGCAGGTGTTGTAGGAACGTGGAAGAACGTGGACTTCTCTTGGAACCATCTGAAGAAGATGGCGCTGGAGAGAGCAGCAGAGGCGAAGGCAAATCCAGAAGTCGGGGAGGTAGGGAGCGCTTTTTATCATGCCAAAAGGGCGCCGATCCACACTGAAGACCAACACCCCGATGGAGTGTGGTGGTACATCAATGGGAATGTGGAGCGGAAGCCGGCGATGCTGTGGCGAAACGGAAGGTTCGTCTGGGAGAATGAGGAGAACGACGAGACGAAGCTGAAGCTTGCCCTGACATGGAAGAGTTCGAGTGGTACATCATGGAGCAGGAGAAAGAGAGGATTCCTCGAATGAGGAAGTTCCGACAAAATCCGAACCCTGGGGTGAACATCATGGAGGTTGCGAGGCTTTCAGCCAAAGACCCGAATAAGCTGGGAAAGCTCTTGATTGCCGCGTGCAGGAATGGCACGAATCTTACGTGCATTGCGACATTGCTGCAGGCAGGAGCGAATGTAAATTATGTCGACGATGAGACTGGTGGTTCCCAGCCGATCCACTTTGCCAGCATGGTAGATCGGCAAGACATCCTCGAGTATCTCCTTATGAATGGAGCAGATGTGAATGCAAGCACGTTCTACAAGGTTTCCCCCCTTCACTTCGCTGCCAACAGCGGACAGGTCCTCAACTGTGAATCGCTTGTGAGGTTCGGCGGGCACATCAATGCAGTTTGCGATCATGGCAGGACCCCTCTGCACGAGGCTGCTTTCCAAGGGTACAATTACACTTGTGCGAAGCTGCTGCAGTTGGGAGCGGACCCCTGGATACGTAGTATCCAGAATGACACCGCGCTCAACTTCGCCGAGCGACGGTTTCAATGTGAGACTTCCATGCTACTGCGCAAGGCGATGGGAATGCCGTTGTGCGAATGCTTCGATTGTGCCATGATGACAGTGGGTTACAACAACATGCATGTACAACACATCATGGACTATCAAAGCAATGCTGAGAATCTCAAATACCTTCAAACTGTGGTAAGAAATCCATGCATGCCCTGTTCGATTATATCTTGTGAGTTTGTTTGTCTGATTAGAAAATGTATAAACGCTCGTTTTGGGACGAGGTAAAGAAACAAGACGATGAATTCAACAAGCTTGTTGAAGAGAGAGAGAGGGTAATGAACCGGCAATATCGACCCTTCGGCAAGGGTAGAATGAGGTTGTGCTGAGTTTCCGGCTGATGTGAATGCGGTTTTTCAGATGTGGATATTGAATTGCCAAGAAATATGTCTTGGTTCGAAAATTACATGAAAGAGGGCTTTCGAGATTACTTTAGAGAATACCATGAAACCTATCCGATCTTTGAAGAGGTGGTTCCGAAATCTCACTCCAGATGTGCGATGACTTTCGTGCCAGGGTCAGGAAGAAGATTCGGAGTTTACGAGATTGTACCAGGAGACTATGGAATGGGAACCTTCTATGAAGAAGAAGAAGTGAATTCAATACATAGATTCAATTGCCGGCAAGAGCCAATCGATGTCGCACAATTCCTCCTCAGTATCCTTAGCAAAGGTGGGAAGATGTACAAACTTCATTCCTGACACTTTCCTCGATCTTTCTAAAGTGACCATTTCAATCACTCTCTGGCTCGTGCTTTTTTCCTGCAGGTCATGAATGAAATTCGAAAGATATTTAGTAAGCTTGTCTTGAACGTGCTTTTCTTGAACGCTTTCAATTTCACTTCTCTCGATATCCCAGAACATCTGTGACTCAAATATGAATTCACGAAATTGCTCAAGAGTGTCATTGTGTCCGTCGTCCAATAAAGCATTCACGTTTGACTGAAAGGCTTCTAGCAAAGGCATGTTGATGGGTCGCATCATTTGAAACCAATCGTCATTAATCCAACCCACGTCCATTTGAGCTAAAACAATTCACAATGAGGTAAGAACATTAAGCAATGATTGAGAAAGACCTCCTTTATCCATGAATTTCTGCCACTCAATGCCAGTTGCCGAGAGAGAAATCTTATCTACACCTTGGCATTCTATGTAAGCAATTTGTGCCTTGTCTGCTTTAGCCTTTTTCCCATGTGCTCCTTTGCAAGTACATGTGAAGTAAGTTCCCCACTTCTTTCTCTCGGATCATACCTAGGACTTCATGGATAGTTGCTTGCCGCTTAGCTGTGGAGCTGGCTGCTGGCTTTTCTCCATCCTTCGACTTATCTGAGCTCGTCAAAAACGACTTGAGTTGCTCCAATTTGGATGCAGCTTCCATCTGGACCGGGCCTTCCGAGCTAGGGTAAATATGAACTTCTACTTCTATAGGGATCGTCCTTTCTATGTGACCTCCGATGTGAGAATCGGAAACTTTGCCCCTTGCATCTCACAATCATGAATGGAAAGCTTAGTCTCAAAGCATTTGCTCACCTTAGCATCAACATGTTGGCGTCGATCAAGGGGCTAAGAAAGCAAGACATCTTCCTTGGGATGTGACCGATTTGACCGATGTTACTTTGAATCCTAAGGCATTTTTGATGAAGTTTGTTAGCTGCCATACCGGTCACGATTCCATTCACCTGATGGCAAGAGGATCGTATCGATTCATGGACTCTCGCAACTGTTTGAACGTCTCATATAGGTGCATTATCCAAACATTGTAAACAGTTTACCAGGTCGAGAGTTTGTCCAGGCTCTGCTTGCATTGCAGCAGTTTTGTAATACCGACATCCAACAGCATCAATTTTCATGACACCCAAAAAGTTGGTTTTAGGTAGACAAGTATTGCTATCATCATCAGATTCAGATTGAGAGCTTCTTGGCGAAGAACCCAGCGAAAAGTTTGGGATACTGTATCGGTCCTGTAGAGCCTGGTGACAATCAAAACCGCATTTTCAAGACTGTCACCTTTGGCTCTGAAGTGTCATCATCCCGAGAATGCTCATGGCCTTGGAGTTTTGCTGGATGGTCCAATGTTGGAATCTTCAACTGCCCAGAGTTCTTCTTTTGCTCGGAAAAATTGATGTTGGTTTGGAGAGTATTGTTTTGAAATTTGTGAAGCTCAGGACTTTCATCTGATCTTTGATGGTTAAGTTCTGGTACCTTCTTATTTGTTAGAGATTCAAAGTTTTGAATTTCTTTGATATCTGCTGCCTTCTTGTTTGTCAAAGATTCGACTCTTTGACTGTTTTTGACAAATTCTCGACTCGATCGATCGAAAGCCCTTGGCAAGAGCGGTACAAAAGTCTTCTTGGGGCCAAGAAACTTGGAGGATGCTAAGTCAGTCTCAGCAGTATGATGGAGAGGGTGCTGATGAACTTGCTGTTCAAGTGCTACTGGTCTGACGGGGATGAACTTTGGCATGGCGGCGACTTATCACTCTCGCAGCATTTTTGGCGGGGCTAGTTTGTGGCCTCCCGCCAAAGGCAAAAAAAGATTTAAAAAGAAATAAAAAACAAGAAAAAATCTGTAAAATGCTTCCAATTTGGGGGTGGGGGTAATGGATGGGGAAAAAGTGATCTGTCTTTTAGGGGCATTTTATCTAGAAAGAAGGGGTAGGAAAATGAAAATGGGGGTGGAGGGGGTAGTGCAACGTCCACAAAGTTTGAAAATATGGGGGAGCAGTTGCGATTGAAGGGATGAAGATAATAATGAGGACGAGGAGGACGAAGGACGAGGACCAGAGGAGGGAGGAGAAGGAGGACCAGGATGAGGACATGGACGAGGACGAGGAGTGATTGGATAGTAGGATGACAGTTTGAGAGAAACACACATTCTGGAGTATGAAAGGGTCCTGTTTGAAAGGTTGCTCAGCATTTGTGCATCGAGAGAACAAGAGAGTGAAAATTGCAAGAAATTTTGCCATCGACATCTCGGAGAAAATGAGTGATGTTGTGATTACCGAAGATTCTTGGTTTATGAAACGATATGCATGAATTCATTCCGTTTGTATTAGTCGATGATCGTACCAATTATCAACCGCAGCATCGCCTTCGAACCCTGACCTTGACATTCAGATAATGCAACTGTAGGTTAATTGCATACACCAGCATCCCACAATGAGCAGGTAAGCCAGCGCTTGCACCATGCGAGTATCAGTCGATAACCTTGTGATTATCCAGATTTGGCAACCAAGGCCTGATGGGGGCCCTTGAGCGATCTGCGCAGATGATTCAAGAGGATCTGATGTTCGACGGACAGTATGACAGCGACAGCCATGCTCAAACCACAGAGAGCGTTGTTCTTGAAGAGGAGCTCCCGGAAGACTACGAGCCTACGGAGGATGAAATTCTCGAGTATGCCACTTGTTTCGATGTGGTTTCTTTGTCTTGTTGACTTCAGTTCAGATATGCTAAATGGCTCGGTATGGATCCTGATGAAGACAAGGCTCTCTTCTGGATCGCCAGGGAAGGTCTCAAAGCTCCCCTGCCCGAGAATTGGAAACCATGCAAAACCGGGGATGACGAGGTTGACGAGAGAGTTTTGGGATGAGGTGAAGCTGATGAATCGCGATGGTAGATCTACTACTTCAACTTTGCGACCGGTGAGAGCGTATGGGACCATCCTTGCGATGAGTACTACAGGAATCTCTTCAAGGACGAGAAGGACAGGCTGATCGAGGTGCGATTCTTCATCGAATTCATGCAGATTACTTGAATCGCTGTTGGAAAGAAATGTGACTGTCTAGTTTGGCAGAAGGAAGAGGCCAAGGTCAAGAAGGAGAAGGATAAGAAACAGAAGAAAAAGGACGGAGACTCAAAGAAATCCAAGAGTGACCCGTTCTGGAATGAAAAATCGAGTTTCTCGGCAGAGCCGATGTCAGGTCTTGGTCCCCTCAAGAAAGACTCTCTTCGTCCTTCTGCAGACTTGGGCGACAAACCAGTTCAGTCACTGAAGGACCTGAAGAACTTGAAGCAGAGCTCAGCTGCTGCTGCACATGACACGACATTCTCTGCCGCAACACACGATGAGTACCAGAAATTCATGAAGGAGGAGGAGGAAGCAATGAAGACCCAGCTCAAGGCTGAGATGGAGAAACGCCTGAACGAAGAAAAGCAGAGGCATGAGGCTGAGCTGCAGCAGAAGTTGAGCCAACTGCAGTCAGACTATGCCAAAAGGCGGGACACTGAAATTCAACAGTTTGAGAAACAACAGAAGAACATCTTAGAGGAGAAGCTGAACAAGATCAAGGAAGAGAGCACTACCAACATGCAAGATGCGGAGCAGAAGATGAGGCAACGAATTCAAGAGGAGAGGGAGAAGCAAGAGCGCGACATGAAGGAGAAAGAAGCGGCCGAGGTGAAGAAACTGAACGAAGAGCTGGAAGCGAGAAGAGCGCAATCGATGGCTGACATTCAGAGCAACGCTGAGATGAAGCAGAAAGAGATGGAGGAGAGCCTTGCGGGGGAAAGAAAGCGAAGAATGGAAGAGATTGACAACCTCAAGGCATCTCGAGAGAAGGAGATCGCCGAAGAGGTTGAGAGAGCACGGAGGGAGATCAATCAGAAACTGGACGATGAGTACAGAGATAGCACTGAGTCGTTGAGTAACATGCAGAAAAAGCACTTGGAAGAGGTTGAGAAGCTCAAGTCAGTGGACTCCCAAGTCTCCGATGTGGAGAAAGAGATTCAGGCAGCGCAGGAGAAGCTCAGTGCAGTCGTTGCCGAGAGAGACAGGAAACTTGCCGAGCTGGACGAGAAACGAAAGCAAATGATGGATGAGATAACGAGGAATGAGGAGAAGATGAAGATGGAGCTCAGCGAAGAAGCCTCGAGGAAACGAGAGTTGCTCGAGAAAGAGCATAACCAAGCCCTCGACAAGTCCCTCGCTGCTCGCGATACAGCCGTTGAAGAGCAGATCTCGAACTTGTCGGCTGAGCTGGAGAAGGAGAAATCAAAGAAGATGAAGGAGTTGGAGGTTGAGTTGGAAGTTGCGAGAGAAGCGCACTCCAAGGCACTCAGTGAGTTCAAGGCTACCCAAGAGCGAGAACTGCAGGAGGCCAAGAAATTAGCGGATGAACGGAAAGAAAATGAGCTGAAAATGCTCGAGAAAGATCACCAAGAGAACATGGAGAAACGAAGGAATGAGCTGAAGAAAGAGGCAGAGAAGGAAGAAGAGCAAGTCAAACAAAAACTTCAGGCAGAGCTCCAGACGAAGCGAGATCTGTTGGAGAAGGAACTGAGGGAGAAGTCGGTGAAGGAAACGGAAGAGAAGGAAAGGTCATCCGTGAGGGTCATCAGCAGAAGTTGAATGAGTTCGTCAGATCTCTCGAGGTTGAATTCGAGAGTTTCAAGAGGTGAAGTTGAATCGATGTTCAACCTCAGATGTGAAGGATGATTCGCAGGTCGGAAGAAGAGAAGATGAGAAGCAAGAAGCAAGCTACAGAAGCAAGCCTTGCTAAGGAGCTTGAAGATCTCGCCAAGGAGAACTTCGATGCCTTGAAAATGTCCAACATGATGAAAGAGAAGGAAACGGAATATCTGAACGCGATCAGCTCACAGGAGAAGGAGTACCAGGAAAATTTGAAGCGGAAGAAGTCAGAATTCGAGCAACAGATTGCAAGGTTGGAGGAAGACGAGATGCAGCACTTGGAGTCCAAGAGGACAGAGATCCAGAGAAAGATACAGGAGGAGCTCGCGAGGGAGCAAGAGATTCTGCAGAAGAACAAGGAAGAAGCGCTGAGAAAGAGAAGCTCCGAGCTGGAAGCGGAGCTCCGCAGTCTCGAGAGGGAGACAGAGCAGAAGATCCTTGCTCTTGAGGAGAGGAAGACGAGGACAGTGGAGAGGCTGGAGCAAGAGATCAGAGAGGAGGAGAGCCGCAAAAATTCTCAGCCTCCACCTCCTTCCCTCCATCCCGCTGTCGGCATTCGGTGCACTCTGAACGTCGACTACGACCATGTCGAGATGTCAGAAGGCACGTTCGCCGCGGCGCTGCGGGCGGACTTTGCTGTGGCCGTTGACGCCTCCGACACGCGGTTCGAGTGGTGTGGGATGGAGAGAGGGAGCGTGCTTGCCTTGCTGAACATCCTCCCCGATCCTTCCGGCAGCGACAAGCGAAGCCCCATGGACGTGGCGCAGGAGCTGATTCGCTGCAAGGACAATCCCCGATCGAAGCTGAAGACTTCATGCAGTACGGCGAAGGCGGTGGAAGAGATCGAGATCATCCAGCCTCTCCCGCGGAAGCATGTGTCTGTCCCATGGAAGATCTTCAAGCAGGAAGAGAAGGAGAGGTGGGACGATGCTGGGCAGCAGCAGCGGCAGAAGGAGCTGAAGGCGATGGAGGAGGAGTACCAGAGGAGGCTGAGCCATCTGGCAGACCTGCAGAAGCAGCTGCGAGAGGAGGAGAACCTCGTGGAGGAGGCGAAGAGGAAGAAAGCGTCCAACGAGCAAGAGGCCGGGGAGGGCAAGCGAGCTCACCGATCCTCCAGCAACATGAGAGTCTCGATCCCCGAGGAGCATGAGAAGGTCCGTAAGCTTGTGAAGGAGATGAAGGCAGACATCCAGAAGCGCCTGGCGTCTCTAATGTCGAGCCGTGAGGCGTACAAGAAGGAGAGGAAAGCGCTGGAGAGGCAGCGGAACTCAGCTGAGTACTCGTTCAAGCTCGCGTTCCTCAGGGAGGTCAAGGCAGCCATCAACCAGCAAGCGCTCTCGCTCAACGAGGACGCAGCTCGGGTCAAGACAGCCGAGAAGGTCCTCAAGTCGATGATCAAGGGCAACGACGGCGAGCCAAGTGTGGGCCACGAGCTGTCGGGTGACAGCTTCGGCTTGTCGGATGTGGCTGGGGACTTGAGCGACACCACGGAGACTTCGTCCATCAGCACTGCCTCCTCCTGCGCCACCATCAACCGCGTCCACTCTGACCTGGCAGAAGCTTTCTCGGCTGTACATGAGGTGAGGGGGAGGCGGGGCGGAAGGAGACTTGATGACGTCACTGATGTTGACGCAGTTGCAACGACGGGCCCGGCACCGAAAGGCTGCGTCCAAGTACTCTGCACCCGTGCAGAAGATCTTCTACCCCGCACGCCCTCGTGACCTCAAGAGGTGGAGGAGAAGGAGCAGCTGCTGTCCTTCTTGTTGACAACCTTTGAGCAGGATGGAGGAGCTCGATGATATGATGGCCTTGGATGAGAGCAGATACGGAGATCTAGCAAGAAACCCACGAACCCTCAGGTTTTTCCTCTCCTTCTCGTCTCCCTCCCTCTGCTCTCCTCTGCTCTCCCTCCCCTCTCCTCTGCTCTCCCCTGCCCTCCTCTCCCCTCCTCTCCTCTCCCCTTCTATTGTCTCCTCTCACCGCCTGTCAAGATCTGATCAGCTTCTCAGGTACCTTCCCTCCTATGCCCGCTCCCAGCGCGTGGCGTACGGAGCGGGAACCTACAGCTCATGGGAGGATCAGCGTCTCGCCCTCATGCAGGGGCAGGTGGAGCATGAGGGCGGGGAGGGAGGGCGCCTGATCCGCCCGCAGATGATGCGCATGGCGCTGCAGCGGGAGATGGCGAGGGAGAAGTTCAACCGCCATGGCGCCTGGCTTTCCTCCTTCCGCGAGCAGGTCCAGAGCCTCGACTGGACCCTTAACATGACAGCCTGTTGCAGCTGGGCAAGAAATCTGCTTCGCCGACTGCAGCTGGGGTGAGACTAGCTGTTTGACCAGTGGAGCCGTTGAAGTTTTGACAGGCGTACTACGACAAGGAGAACCGACCGAACAGCGCGAGGTAAGACATGAAGACTGGGGAGGGCAGGGGTGACGTGAGAAGCAGGAAGGAAGGAGGAGAACCGAAGATCAACTTGTCGGATGGCAAAGTAAGACGAGAGGGGTGACGCGGGCTGCTGTGTTGCCAGACTGATAATAGTACAGGCGATAGTCATTCGTATCGAAACTTCTCCCTCATAGGGACTGAAAGCTGGGAGTTGTGCTCATTCACGTTATTCATGTCCTCTCTATGTCAATCAAAATTTGAAAAAACGGTTTCAACGCTAACGCGAATCTGCTCCTGCTTCACTCCACCTTCCTTCTCTTCGAATCTCCCTGCTCCCCTCCGCTCTCATCTTCGCACCTCCTCTCCGCCTGAGAAACCAAGTCAGTCCCAGAGTTTCAACCCGCCGCGTGCAGAGCTGCATACTAGATGCATGACCGTGCACAAAACATCAGCCTGCGATAGAGCTTCTAGGGCACAGCAAAATTCATCTCATCTCATCTCATCTCATCTCATCTCCAGCAACGTCATGTCATGTCAAGTCATCGACATTGATGCCTTCGTCGTCCTCGACGCGCAGGCAAGACACCAACTATCTCCTTATCAACTTGTATACCGTTTCATCATTTGGATTTAAACAACTTGTTTCGCCGCTACTATTCGTAGCAGGTCTCTGAAGTCAAAGGTGAGAAATTTCGTTCATGTTGCGCCTGAAGTGGTCCCGAGGCAACACAACAGGTTCCATCAACAAGTTAGCAGTCAGGTTAGGTCATCTCAGTTCAGGTCAGGTTAACTCAGGTTACTCAGTTAGCCAGTGAGCCCTCCTCTTCCAATGGCGTCAACTCACCTCAACTTCCTCGATCACTTCTGCGATTATCTGCTGTGTTTCCACGCTATCGACCATAGCGCCCAGCAGCTTTTCCCCTCCTGAGATGATCGCTTGCTTTATGACTTCTCTGTCTGCGATCAAATCTTCCGTGACATACTTGATAGCATCACCAGATGTCTTGAGTGCTATTTTTCACAGTGTGGCAAATGATTGGGTGGCAAAAAAAAGGAATGTTCAGCTTTGCATCACAACATTTGCAAATGACATGGGGAGAGAAGAAGGAATCAGGTAAGAAATCAAAATCATCAAGTGACGACATCAAAGGGGAGGTTACCTTCTAGTACCACTTCCTTATCCTGTGCCTCTGAGGGCAGCACTTTCAGGACGTCTCCTGCCTTCTTCACAGCCATAATGACCACATCCTTGTCAATCTTCAGGCTGTCAGTCGCATACTCCAGCGCCTCTGGTCGAGTTGAGACTGCTTCTGTCACGACATCCTTGTCTCCTCTCAACAATGCGTTCGCAAACTGAAGCGCATCTCCATCGGCCCTCACTGCTTCCATCACCAGCTGCTTGTCCGCTTGCAGCTCAGGGTCAGCAAACTTTAGCCCCTCGCCAGCCGAGCATTCTGACTTCAGTGCTGAGTACACAACGTCCTTCTCCTTCTTCATGTCCTTCGAGGCAAACTTCAACGCCTTGGCATTCGCTTGAACTGCGATTGTAACAATCTCCTTGTCGTCGCTGAAAGCCGGCGCCAGCGAAAGGGCTCTCCCGCTCTTCTTCACAGCTTCCAGCACAACCTCTCTATCCTTCCGCATCTCTTCTGAGCTGTGCTTGAGCGAGTCCCCTGATTGCTTCACAGCACACAGCACAACGTCGCGATCGTTCTTCAACTCGGAGCTCGCAAACTTAAGAGCGTCTCCGTTCTCACTTACAGCAGCCATGACGACTTCCTTGTCCTTCAACAACTCCTCTGACGCAAATCGAAGGGCCTTGCCATGTGATTTCACAGCTCTCAAAACAACCTCCTTGTCTTTCTGGAGACTTGGATCTGCGTTGTCCAGCTGGAATCCGTTCGCACTCATACACGCAAGCACCACCTCCTTATCTTTCTTCATCTTCTCATCCAACCCCGACAGGCAGCTCGCTCCCTACGACATGTCACCAACAACAGCCTTGACCTCAAAGGCAAGCAGACCTTGGCACACAGCTCCAAAACAAAGTCCCTGTCCTCGATAAGATCTTTCGAAGCGTACTGCATCGAAGGGCCGTGTTGCAATGCAGCAGCCGTCACTATCGCCTTGGACTTCTTGAGTTCCTCGGATGCAAATTTTAAGGCATTGCCGTTCTGAGACACCGCAAACATGACCAGCTCCTCATCTGCCTTGAAGTTCTCTCTTGCATGTCTCAGACAGAGCCCATCGCGCTGCAGGGCACTGACAAGCTCCTCACGCTGCAGCAAAGGAGTCTCGGATTCCATGCCTGCCAATGCTCTTTACGGCAAAGCTGTTCCAACCTGTGAATGGAGGTTCTGCTATCAGTCAGGAGGAACAGCAGTTCCACCCAAACACAAATCAAATCCGACGGGTTGCTTTCAACAGAATCATCACACCCTCCAGTTCAACCTGTTGAAAACTTATTAGAAGACTTGTCAATACACTGTCATGGAGTAGAAAACTAGTTTCAGGACTTGTCAAAGTACAGTCATAGAATCATTTGAGCACTTCATCTTTCGAGCGCATCAAGAAAGTTCAACTCTTTTAAGTCCAGAACATCCGCAAACATCAAAGGAGAGACCGTTCGCAGGGACAGCAAGGCAAACTTGACCACAGGTTACAGTACGCAACTCCACAACTTGCTTCCGAGGACTCGCTACAGCAGAACAAAACAAAGATCACTCAAATGCACTCTCTTCCCCATTTTCAAACAGTATTGTTACATCTTACTGATGAAGGTTATACTTTCTCGCGGGGAAAAGAATATCCTAAATCACCGTCTACCCTTCGCGTTGGTCCCTTTGAAGACATGTTACCGCAACCTGCTTTTCTCCCCGCATCTCTTCAAGGTGGATTCGATGAACAACTTATCCACTGCTCTTCTAAATCTTTTGCATGTCCTTCCCCATGGTTTCGCTCGCTTCCCGCCATTGCTCTCCAGTTTTCCCTCCCACCACCACCTTCCACTCCTTGCTTCCTGCATTGAAAATATCCGCGAGGCCCACCCCCCCTCCCCCCATCCACTGTCACCTGGCACCCTGATCCTCTGGACCCAACAGTGAATGCACCCCACCCCCTCAGCTGACATTGGCACATCACCCCACCCCACTGAAGTCTTGGCATCACCCCTGTTTTCTAAGTACCTTGGTCACCCTTATCCCACTCTTCAACACCAATAAGTACCCCACCCCCATAATTTAATAATGTACCCACCCCTCATAATACACCCCACCCACGTGTATTCAACCAGCTACCCCATGATCTCTGTGCTACCTCAACCACCGGTGTGTCTACTTGGCTACAACATTTTTAAGCTGTACCCTACCCTGCTCACCACTACCCCATATATTTGTCAAGTACCCCTCAATTTAATGTGAAATCCACCCTGTTTTCTCACATGGGTAGTGTACCCCGTAACATGGTTTTGATTACCTCGATACCCCCACCCCTCCATCCCTTGCGCGGTTCCTTGAGGCGCACAAAAACTTCGAGGCATTTTTGAATATATATCGAGAACATTTGAAAAATGATACTATTGAAATAATTTCAATGTACAACCAAATCGAGTATTCAACGTACCCCACCCCTTGAATGATGTTGGGGGGCAAGGTTATCGGTGGGGGTAGTAGTCCAAGGTGAGGAGAGGTCACAATTTCCTACTAAAATGCGACTCAGCCGGTCCGATCGGCAATAGGCCCCCCCCGTCACCAAGTTAGTTAAGTTTTTCTTTACTCAAAGTTAAGTTAAAGATCAGTACGAGGACAATCAGGAGAGACCGTCGACACTCCGAGACTCCAAACCCAATCCTGCAATCAAGTTCCCGGGCCGAGTCCCGGACGGTCCCCCCCAGCTTACCCGCGCCGCATGTCGCTGTGGGCCCGACCGAAGACCCGCCGCGGAATCTGGAGCAAGTCGAAGGGATGATTTAGTAAGTCGCATGCTCGTTGAACCTCGGCTTGGCACCAACGTCGCTGAATTTCAGGAGGGTGCAAACTCTGAGCCTAGTAGGGTGGGTTATTTCCTAGTAGGGTTTATTATTAAGTTTTAGGGCCCAGTTTATTACCGTGTGTAGTAGCAGCCGCGCTGCCCGGATTCAATGCAGGATGATTCAACGCCATGATTCAGGCTTGGCTGCCAGGACCGGGTAAGCTTGAAGGCTAAAAGTCGGAGCCTGAGCCCGACTCCCGCCGGGCCGCGGGCGGCCACGCCGTCGGTCACTCAGTGTCACGGCGTGCCGACGGTGGAGGCCCTCGGGTGACAGAGTAGCCTTAAGGCCACCGTGACAGGCTGTCCATTTTACTGTCCAATTAGTGGGTTTTTACTGGGTACTACTGGCAGCGGGTTCAACGGTTGGGCCACTAATACTGTCAATACTAACTGACGGTGAGCTGAATGAGGGCACGCAAACACGTCGATAACCGGTGGTTTTCTATGAAAAGGAGATGGGGTGGGGTAGGGTCCTGGCATTATAAATTCGTTTGTGGTGCGTTGGTAGTCGGAGAAAGTGACCGAGAGATAGGACTGAAACAAGACAACAAGTGTAAGAGTAACAAGAAAGAGAGTAGCAAGGAGAGAGAGGGAAGTACACGAGTCTGTAGAAGGCTGGCTTCTAGCTCCATCGCTAGATACCAGCCTTCGCCCTCTCAGCTTGCGCACCCCTCTGGCTCAAGGAATTGATTGGGAGGAATCATGTTCCAACACCATGTGCTCTTCTCCAATGGGTTCCAAGGAAACACCGATGCAAACGCTCGCTGCGAAGTCTCAGATCCGCTGTCCTTCGGCTATCAGTACTTTGCTGGTGCAATCGTAGTATTCCTCGCTGGAATGCTTGCGAGCTTCGGAAATTCGGGATTCGACACATGCTGCGACATCGTCAGACGACGGTTTGTCTTCACCATCGAATTTCTCAGCTGCGATGAGACATTGATCTGGATGAGCAACTGGGTTTCAGAACATCCGTCCTCCGCCAACACTAGGAACGTCTCTGTGTTCTCCTCGTTTCGTAGCTTAGGGCTACTGCGCTCTGAGACAGACAAACAACAGCAGGACCACATCTTGTTGCCGACAGGATGGATCATCTTGAAGCATAAGAACAGATGGATTCTTATCACGAGGTCGAGCAAGCCGAAAGCCAACCATCGCTCCCTTGCCGAATCATCGAACATGCGGTTGTACGTCCTTGGAGGTTCAAAGCAGTTCTTGCTGGATCTTCTTGAGGAAGCAAGGGAAGCCTATGAGACAAAGAAGAACTCAAGAACAAGGATCTACGTTGCTGACGAGTACTCCTACTGGAATCTCACCTCCTCCAGGATGTCTCGTCCCCTGAGCACAGTCTTGACTTGGCCCCTGGACCGCTCCGGAGCCGTCCTGGACGATTGCAAGAGATTCTTGGAGGCTGAGCAATGGTACGCGTCCAGAGGGATTCCTTGGCGTCGGGGATATCTGCTCCACGGCCCTCCTGGGACCGGCAAGACAAGCCTTGTCTCTGCTCTGGCAGGTAGGGATGTCTTGGGGAAGAGTGCTTTTTGTTTTCTCATGCTGTTGTGCTTCAGGCGCCTTGGAGTTGCCCATCTACGTGGTCCACCTCTCCGGCCCCAAGCTGACCGATCAGAGCTTCATCGAGACTCTCAACGGCTCTGCTTCCAGGTGCATCCTCCTGCTGGAAGACATTGACGCAGCTTTCCGGCAGAGGAACTCCGAGGACGTGGCGGGAGGGCTGACCTTCTCGGGACTGCTCAACGCGCTGGATGGGGTTGTGGCGCAGGAAGGTCGACTAGTCTTCATGACGACCAATCATCTTGAGAGGCTAGATCCTGCTCTTGTTCGCCCTGGGCGTGTCGACCTGATGGTCGAGTTTCACTTGTGCACTAAGGAGATGGTGTCGGCATACCTACGAAGTTTCTACACAGACATCAGCGAGGAGGAGGTGGCAGAGTTCGTTGAAGCTGTTCCCTCTGGCGCCCTGTCGATCGCCCAGCTTCAAGCATGTTTCCTCAAGCATGCGCACACCCCCTTGAAGGCTCTCACGGAGATCAAATCGGTGATCCGAGAAATGGTAGGACACTAGTCCCAGCAAGTCGCAGGGAGAGTTGGACTAGATCCGCCCTGTTATTCATTATCACATCTGTAATATTAAAAATGAGATCTAGATCTCTCACTTGCATCGCCCATTGCATGCAAGTATTCACGAACTTGCCAACTTGGAAGGTCAGTTATCAAACATCGCAGCCCTGGCTGCCAAGTGTTCATCAGTCTCCTGTCGTCTACGGCCTTCGACATCCTTCAGATCCTATCAATGATCTCACTAAACCACGGCATCATCATCTTTCAACTGCACTACTTCAAATATCGTGCCAGTGACTTTCGAATCGATCGAAAGCGTTTCATCCTCAGTATTGCCCCAATCTTAGTTTAGCAGCTCTCACCGCACTGTTCCTTCTGCTATAGCTACCTGCTGTCACTGGTCCACTGATCGACTCCTCTCCCCCTCTCCCCCTCCCGCCCCCCCTTCCTCCGCTCCCGCTCCCTCCCATCCTCCCATCAATCGGGCACTTTCGCTCGTTGACTCGGAGGCGGGCTTGCTTTCAACATCACCCGGGATCGTGTCCCATGCCGTGACGGGGGGATGCGAACTGCGGCGGCGCTATGGCTGATCACGGCATGGTGAGGAGGAGGAGGGTAGAGCAAGACCTTGCTGTCCTCTGACTCTCCTTCCAGCCTTGTTGCTTCTGTCTCCGAGGGCAAGAAGAAGTCCATGGCTGGCTGCAAGTCTTCCAAGAGCCCCGTCGAGTTCATGTGACCATGGTATTGCTCTCATGCAGGACGGTTGATGTTTGCTCCAACAGCAAGCGGTCGAACAACCTCTTGTCCCAGGGGAAAACACAACTTGCGCTCTCCTGCCTTCTAGATGCTGTGGCTAAGTTCCCGTCTTCAGGTCCCGCGTGCCTGCTTGTTTCCGCTCTTCGTAACCTGCCATTTGCCAGGAGAGTGCTGGGAGAGCTTGGGCGCTGTATACGCCGATGCCGGCTACAGCGAGGAAGGACAAAATGCGCTGCGGAAGGCGCTCGCCATAGACCCGTAGAGCAGACCCTTGGACGCTCGTTATCGTGACTGATGGGGATGTTGGTGCCAGGGCGTTGGGGTTGGCAGCGCTGAAGCTGGGGAACATCCTTGCGGCGCAGGGGCTGGAAGAGGATGCGATCGAGATGTTCGAACGTGAGATGAGGGAGATGGCGGGCAAGCGCGATGAAGGAACACTCAGGTGCCAGTGAAGCCCGTCCGGATTCCCCGATCCCCTTTAACAACATCGGACTGTCGTACATGCGACAGAGGAAGCGGTCGTGGGGTGTTGTGTCCCCTCCATCCTCCGTCATGACTCTCCTTCCCTTGCCAGGGAGCAGGCAGTGCGGATCTTCCAGGAGGGCCTTGACAGCACAGCCGTATGCCTCCTGCTTGCCTTGCATGCCGTTCCTTGATAAGTTTGCGATACCAGGCGAATGCCTACGGTAGGGGAATGATCCTCAACAACTTGGGGCTGGTCTTGAAGGATGCTGGGCACGTGAGGACAAGCTATGACGCGATCTGGACGCTGACGCGCTGCGAAGCTCGAGGAGGCGATACGTCACTTCGAGGAGGCGCGGGCCCTGGACGGCTCCCTGGAGTCTCACGCGAATCTGGCCAATGCGTTGTTCGATGTGGGGCAGTATGGTGAGGCAGAGCAGGTGAGAGAGTTGGTATGACGTCACAACATCTCACTTGAGTTGTCAGATGTGTCGAGATGCGATGGAAGGGAACTTAAGAGACAAGAACATCCTTGTGGTCTATCTATCTTCGCTTGTCCTCCAAGACAAGCTGCACTCAGTAGTCGAGCTGTTGTCTTCAGGTCCTCTTGCCTTGTGCTGCCAGGACTAGTGGCCGTAACTCCCCGCTCATGAACAGACTCGTTTGCCCGTTCCGTCGGCTCCGACAAGGCAGAGATTCTGCAGCTAGTGATGGAGAAAGTTTCAAACACTCACAATCCCTTGCTGGCCGTCGAGCTGCTGGTGGGATCATAGAGATAGCAACGAGAGAGGAGGGGAGAGCAGAGCAGAGCAGAGCAGAGCAGAGCAGAGCAGAGCAGAGCAGAGCAGAGCAGAGCAGAGCAGAGCAGAGCAGAGCAGAGAGGAGGGAAGGGGAGGGTAGAGGAAAGGAGGCAGTGAGGGAAGGGAAAGAGGGAAGGTGGCAAAGCAACGGGACAAGCTGACGGTGGTGAGCGACAGAGCATGCTCGGGGCTCTCAGCAGCGCCAACATGATCGGAGCTGCTCGCCTGCTGACTCAGGCACACGAGCGATACGAGCTCAACTATGCTCTCCGCGCTTATGTGAGCTCGCAAGCTCTGCTGGAGGGCTGCTGAATTTTCTGTGCCTTTCATACGGGCAGGTGACGGCCCTGCGGATAGAAGGTGACTCGAAATCGTCGATGGAGCAGCAGCAGGCGTTGTCGGGGCTTGGAGCTCTGCTTTACAGGTGCGCTGCCGCTGACCTCGTCTCCTTTCTTTCTGAAGTTGGGATATCAGGTTGGCAAGGTTTGGCGACTCAGAGAAGATTTTTCGTAGGATCACACGGCTCAAGTCAGTTGACAGGGTGCTGATGGTGTGAAGCAGCTCATGGGAGAGCTGGGGGGGGATGAAGATGTTGGCACAGGTTGAGGCATACAACGGGCTGGGAGCTTCCATAGAGATGTCCCACACGAGGTTGGACGAGGCCGTGAGATTGTACGTGTTGCTGCATGCGAGCAAGTCAGAAGTATAAGTCTCACTTATGGCTGTTGTCAGCTATCGGACTTCTTATGAGATGAATAATGACTTCGAGACCCCCTTCTTCAGCCTGGTGACTTGAAAGTTCCTCCTCTCTTTCCCTGTCCCGTCTCGCTCCTCCTCTCTTTCCCTGTCCCGTCTCTCTCCTCCTCTCCTCCTCTCCTCCTCTCCTCCTCTCCTCCTCTCCTCCTTCCACCTCCTCCCTGCCTCCCGTTCTCTCCAATTCTCCTCCTCAGTCCTTTCCCCTCCTTCTATTCGCCTTCTGACTTTCTGCACCGCCTTCATCTCAAACCCCAGATCCATCTCCTCGGACGCATCTGCGACTGGAGGGGCTGGGAGCGAGACTTCAGCAAGGCCCGAGCTCTGATCGACCAGGGAACCGCCGGGGGACTAGGCCCCATCTTCGCTCTCGCCTATCCTCTCAGCGATCGACAGCTCTGCAACGTAGTTCGCCAGCGAGCTGCGCACGTGCTCGAGGTGTCCAGGAGGATCTCTGCTAACTTCATCCCCTGGCTGCCCGACAAGAGCGCCGGGGTGGACAAGCTCGCCATCGCCTTCCTCTCGGCCGACTTCAACGCTCGTCCGGTCGGGCAGCTCGTCCAGGGTCTCTTCCGCTTTCTCGACCGCTCTCGGCTCGAGGTCTTCTGCTTCAGCTTCGAGGCCAACGACGGCTCCGAGCCGCTTGTCACCATCCACAACTCCGTCGACGAGTTCCACTGGGTCAAGGGCATCGACTCGCGCATGGTCGCCGAGATGGTCAACAGCGCCCAAGCGCATGTCATGGTGGAGCTCAACGGCTACACTGACGGGGGTCACGCTGAAATCGGGGCCCTGCGCCCGGCCCCGGTGGTCGTGCACTACCTGGGGTACCCTTACTCCCTCGGCCTTCCCCAGTTCGACTTCATCATCACCGATCGCGTCGTCACTCCTCCCGAGCACCACCCCAGCTGCTTCACCGAGAAGTTTGCGGTCCTCCCTCGCACGTACATGGTGGCGGATCATCGTCAGAGCCAGATGAAGCAGGTGGAGGGAGACTTTACCCCTGAGGACGCTGCTGCCCGCAACCTCCCCCACCACCAGCACCAGGTCCCTTCGCCGCTCCCCGCCGCTCCCCCATTCCTGCTTCTCCTTCCCACCCCCTTCCTCTCCCTCCTCCCCCTCTCCCGTTCTCCCTCTTCCTTTTCCGCTCCCCCCCTCAGCTTCCTCCTCCCCCCCTCCCTCCCCCCCCCCTCCTCTTCTCGCTTCCCCCCGTTGCTTGCCAACTGATACCGCCTCCTGTATTTCCAGGTCATCTTTGCAAACTTCAATCACCTGCAGAAGCTCGGGCCAGGAACTTTCGCCTTGTGGATGAAAATCCTCGGCCAGGTCCCTTCCTCTCTTCTTTGGATGCTCAGGTGAGGCACAAGCTCTCCCAGCCTCTCTCCGCCTCCTAGCCTACATCTCTGTAGTCCTCCATTCTGCTCCTGCTCCTGCTCCTGCTCCTGCTCCTGCTCCTGCTCCTGCTCCTGCTTCTAACAATCTCCAAAGGTTTCCAAGGGAGGCTGAGGCTCATCTGAAGAGGGAGGCAGCGGCAAGCAACATCAATGCCTCTCGAATCCTCATGACGGACAAGGTCGAATTCAACGAGCATCTCCGAGTCAAGCGAGCTGCCAGCGTACGATTCCTGCTCATCCTCTTGTCTCTCGCTCCCTCAACCAACCCTTCCTTCTCCTCCTTCCTCATTCCCTCCTCCTTGTCTGTCTCCTTCTCCACCTCCCCCTCCTTCTCCTTGTTCTCGTTTTTGGCCTCGCCTCCTCCTCCTCCTTCTCCTCCTCCTCCTCCTCCTCCTCCTCCTCCTCCTCCTCCTCCTCCTCCTCCTCCTCCTCCTCCTCCTCCTAATCCTTATCGCTGACTTCGGCGAACTAGATCCTCCTCGACACCCTGGAGTACAACGCGCACGTCTCGGGCATCGACGCTCTCTGGATCGGCCTTCCCCTCATCACCCTCGCAGGTTCTTCCTGGCGCAACCTGCCAACCTCCTGATCCTCTTGTTCAGGGAGCAACATGGCGAGGAGGTGCGGCGCTTCCTTCCTGCAGTCCCAGGGTTTAGACCTCCTCCTCGCGCGCACGCAGGCAACGAGCCATGTTCTGCACCCCAGAACTTGTGACGGCTCTGCTGAGCAGGAGGAGTACGTGGAGATGGCGGTGAAGCTTGGGAGGAGCACAGAGAGAGGAGGGAACGGCACCTCGAGCCTCCGGAAGCTGCGGCAGCGGGTGGAGGGCGCGCGATCCTCGTCGCTGTTCGACACTGAGGTGAGAGGAGAGGAGGAGGACGCTGAGGCTGCTGACGCGCGTGAAGGCCTGGGTGCGCGACTTCGAGCGTCTTGTGCACATGATGGTGGAGGCAGCATGGGCGGGAGGAGACGGGAGAGGGAGAAATCACCTGGTAGCCTCAGGATACTCGGGATGGAAGTCTTCTCCATCAGCACAAAGACGATCATGAGCTGGGAAGGGCCGCAGAGTTTGACTAGTAGCTAAATCTAGGGCAGGCAATTCAAATCTAGAACAGAATCTAGGTCATAGCTATCAACTTTCGAGCTCCTAGTGACCCGGGAGTCAGTCCCCAACCTTTCTACCGGGTCGGACTGAGTCCGGGTCGGACTCCGGGAGTATCAACTGTCCGGCGAAAGGATCATCGGATCGATCATGGGGAACTTGAAAGTCAAGAAAGTCAAGTGGGAACTTGAAAGTCAAGTGTGAACTTAGCGGATCCGATCACCGGACTCCGGGAACCTTCCGACGGTCACTCGATCGTGAGTCCGAATGAGGCGATCAAAAGTCACCCAATGAGTGGATAGGCATACAAAAGTGTAAGTGCCGTGACTACATCAAGTGGATACACCTTTTATCCTGCATTGAGATCCATTTTTGAACGAGTCAATACAGACATCAAGTGGATAAGCCTTACTCGCATCGATTGACATCCTTTTTAATGATACCACGATAGCTTGACTGGATGTCTTCCTTCTCCCTGGGCTACCCCGTACATCCCCCTACCGTCCCATGGGCTCCTCGGGGGTAGGGTAGGTAGGGTACCCCCACCCCTAGAGATTTAATTTTGCCTCGGGCCACTCGCGTGTGCCTCTTCCCCTTCCCCCCCCCCCCTCCGCAACACGAGGAACCCGCTCCCTCAGCTACCTGCCATGCTGGACCTGGATGTCTCCTGCTGTCCTTCTGACTGTCTTGACACTCTCCTCGAGTGGAGCTCGTCCATTGTCATGGAGAATCGGAGCGACGACTTTTTCGTCTCCACGGTCTTGAACTGTTGTGAAGGGCATTGCCAGTGCGGCGGCATCATGGAGTGCGTGGAGTCACTAGATATATGATCAGTGAGCTTTGAATGTTGAGAGCTAATGCATCTTTAGGGCAACTGCCACGTGACTGAAGTCGCCACGAAGCGGCTGGCGACTGGATGTTTGTCACCACACACGAGGAGTAGATTTTCGCTCCGATGTCGGGCATTTTTAGAAATAAAAATAAACGATACAGCAAAACAAAGCTTTGGATCTCAACATTCAAAGCTCACTGATCATATATCTAGTGACTCCACGCACTCCATGATGCCGCCGCACTGGCAATGCCCTTCACAACAGTTCAAGACCGTGGAGACGAAAAAGTCGTCGCTCCGATTCTCCATGACAATGGACGAGCTCCACTCGAGGAGAGTGTCAAGACAGTCAGAAGGACAGCAGGAGACATCCAGGTCAAGCATGGCAGGTAGCTGAGGGAGCGGGTTCCTCGTGTTGCGGGAGAGCGGGGGGGGGGGGGCGGAGGGGAAGAGACACACGCGAGTGGCCCGAGGCAAAATTAAATCCCTAGGGGGGGGGGTACCCTACCTACCCTACCCCCGAGGAGCCCATGGGACGGTAGGGGGATGTACGGGGTAGCCCAGGGAGAAGGAAGACATCCAGTCAAGCTATCGTGGTATCATTAAAAAGGATGTCAATCGATGCGAGTAAGGCTTATCCACTTGATGTCTGTATTGACTCGTTCAAAAATGGATCTCAATGCAGGATAAAAGGTGTATCCACTTGATGTCACTCTGCATGCATATCCATTTTCGATTTAAAACTCATCATGTGACCGTCGCTGGCCAGCCAGTGCATCGATTGAGTCAATTCGAACCCGGCAACGAACGCGACAGCCCCTATCAGGCTTCCGGGAAAGCACTGACTAAGTTCTGAAACTATGAAACATTTTTCGACTGGGTGACCTAGTGGACATCCTTTTTTTCGGCGGCCCGGCCAGCTATCACTGACTCCTTGAAGTTCATGTACTCAAAGTTAAGTTAAAAATCAGCACGAGGACAATCAGGAGAGACGAGAAGGCCGCAAGTTGACCCTGACACTGTCCGAGCACAGAGCCGGGCCGCGCCATATTATCCGAGCCTGAGTGTTCAGTGACAGTGTGCCAGTGAGTGCTTGGCCGGGCTAGGCGGACTCGGAGATGAGGGGGATGAGTTTTTTTCCCGCCAAAGGAGCAGCCTGGAGCAGGAGCAGGAGCAGGAGCAGGAGCAGGAGCAGGAGCAGGAGCAGGAGCAGGAGCAGGAGCAGGAGCAGGAGCAGGAGCAGGAGCATGAGCAGGAGCAGGAGCAGAGGGTTGCATGGCTTGACAAGAGGGAGGGAGAGGGAGAGAGAGAGAGAGAAGAAGGACAGGAAGAGGGAAGGAACTGGGTGATGATACAATGGAAAAGGGAGGATGTTAGAGGATTGAGGAAGGGTTGATCAAGGTTGGTGTGGAACCTAAACAACATTGATTGTATAGTTCTACAACATCTTTTGAGGTGTTCGTGCTGCAGGCGAAACGACCACACTTAATGTCTCGCGCCGCAGCAGATGCAGCGGAAACATCCGAAGGTTACTTGCACGTTTCTGCCAAGAAAGATCTTCCTTGATAGTTTCCTGTTAGTTCTGTTCGAGATGTCGAACTTGTTGAATACCGGCCTCGACAAACCCACGTTGAACATCCTGATCGAACTCTGTGGTAGCATATTGAATTTTGCAAGGACGATGCTGACTCTGTTTCAGAGAATGGTGTTAACCCTGAAGCGCTGGCCCACGTTGTGAGGGAGCTTCGAAGAGAATCTGCTGCCCTGAAGGAGGCCGAGAGGCATAACGTGCGTCTTTGAGTTTGAGATGGTGAACGTTGACTGGCAGGGAAGCTCAATCTGTGTCAAGCATGGGATTGAAACTATGAGCCCCGCTGGGGGGTTCCATACTGCTGTAACAAGTTTGCAAGTCTAAGACAGTTGTTGGTTGTGTTGCTTTTTACTTGAAAATGTACTTTCCTGCGGAGAATGGTGGGAACATAGGGATGGGTGAGAGCTTGGAAACGATGGAATACCTACTCCAGTCCATGACTGCATGGAATCAGCAACGAGTTTCAAGTCCAGGAGAGGGGGTTCAACCTCGCTCTGCTCCTATGGAGGACTCGAAGCTATCCGCATACTTGATGCGGCTTCCCACGGAATAGACTGACGACCTGCCCAATGACGACTGTTGTTGGCTGACATTTCTGATCGGAGCTGAGGACGCAGGTCAGAGGGTCAGCGCTGGGGTTTCGGACTTTCAACACCACCTCGCTCCCGCGCCACTAACGAGCGTCGTCGAAGTACCGTCAGGATCTTGAGGGCAGTCTCGTTGCTCGCTCCTGGTGTTCGTCACTCCCGCCCCGGCTTGCCCCCCTCCTCTCCTCTCAGCCACCGGTGGGCGAGCGAAAGATCATGGTGACCGGTTCTCCTTCCGGGCCTGCCAGGTACCCGAGGACCTGACGAAGGTCAGCGCTTCGCCCCCTCCCCGATAAGTCACCTGCTCCAACGAGAGCCCGTGAGTGTTGATCCCGTCCACGTCCACCAGGAAGTCTCCTGCAGGAGGAGTAAGGGAAGACAGGGAGGTGAAGCAGAAAGGAAGAGAGGACGTAAAGGAGGACGGGAGGGAGGACGAGAAAGCAGGAGGGCGGGAGGACGGTGGGGTAAGGTAGGAAGGGAGGGAGGGGAAGAGCACCAGCACTGATAGACACGTGCGGGAGGCCCTTGATTGGACTGTCCGGCAATACTTCTCGAACCATGGGGAACTCGTAGGACCCGTCAGGGAGGATGCGCTGCATGGCGTAAGATGTGAACGCGAGGAGGGCTGGGAAAATCGAAGACCTGCTGGTAGAAGGAGACTCCGACTTCTTGTGACATGCAGTCGACCCCGTGACGCAGACTCTCTTCCAGCTGATGACTGAACCTGACTTCTTTCCTGACCTTCTGGTTCCATCCGTTCTCCTGCCCCCCCCACGTCACCAGCCTGACCTTGCGCCGCCTCCTACCTTGGGCTTGTCAAATGTCAGGATCAGGTGGATTTGCTGCTTCGTGAGGTTCCGGCTCAAGGGCCCCTGGAGTCCCGTCAGACCGCCAACGTCACGCGGGTGGACCAACCAGAGAGATCATCCGAGGCTCGGTAGTCTCTTCCGACACGTGGAGGTCGAACCAACCTGAGCGCGATGGAGTGTTAGGGTAGGAGGGAGAAACAAGAGGAGGAGGAGGAGGAGGAGGAGGAGTGGAGGAGGCGTAGGACTGCTAGGGAAAGTGATGTATTACCGTCGACTCTTCCGCTGTTGTAGATAAGCGAGAGCTGTTTGAAATGTTGAGTTGGCAAGTCAACTGCGACAAGCAGCTTACAGGTATCAATGACGTCATGCCGACGGTTGCATCGACGGCATCGGGTCTCGAGTCTCTATGAGAGGGTCAAACCCTTCTCAAATGTCCCTCTTGCACGAGAACCTCAATTCAAAACGAATATATCTGTCCTTCAGCGAGTTCTTGCTAATGTCAAACAAGAACTGGTGAAAAGCATGTTAGTTGCGCTTTAGGGGATTGCAAAAAGAAACGGCATCATGCCTGCTCATCAAATTGAGGAGAGTCAGCAGAATCACACACTTCCGTTGAATGCTCAAGGTTTGCGACAAATCCACCCAAAGCTGACTCTAGAATATTCATGCTCTGTTTTTCCTATCACGTCGAGAAAGAATGGATACTTCTTATGCAATGACTTACCGTGTAAAGACGCAGATGTTTGCCAAAACCATGCAACGAAGGAATATGATTTGCCTCTAAGATCGCTACAGACATCAACAAAGTATCTTGAGACTCGCTGGTGGGCCTTGATTCCTGTACCACAACATCATTCATCTGAGATTTCGCTGTCACGCTGTCAATTCGCCAACTTTGTATACAAAAGCCTCCCTGACCCTCTCGATGTCTTACATTCTCATTTCGTCTTCTGGACGACGAATTTCTCTGGGGTGCATTTGTCTGCAAGCTACCTCGCGTCCCCCGCAACCAGGTCTTGTCTGCCTTACTGCTCTGAGAGAAATTCGTCATCTCAAGCTCAGATTCCCAAGTCTGCGAGCTGCTCATGGCCAAACTGAAGTTCGACGAAGTTCGAGCAAACTCTGTATCGTCAAAGGTGCTGGAGGCCACACTCAGAGTCGAGGGGACCCTCTGAAACCCAAAGGAGTTGCTCGCAGTCATTGAACCTCCTTGGCTGGGTCGATGCGCAGCATTGCCGTACGTATCCATACGCTCTTTCCCTTCACCCGTCATCTCCGCTCCTTCATTCGGAAAATTCCTTCCTGCATGCCACTCGTCAAGTCGTCTAGTGTGAAGGTAACGAATCGTACCACGCATCATCTCCTCCTCGTTGTCCACAAGTAGTTTCGAGTTCATGCCCTGCAGCCGCATATGAGTCTTGAAAGAAACAGTTTCCGACACATTTCCGGCACAAACCTTGAACGGTCCCCCCAGGTTTGCGTCTTCATCATACAGGTGATGGACATCAGCAGCAGTGACATAATGCAACATGAGTCGCAGAGTTCCTGAGAGCTTTGTTAGCAATGCACTTGCTACACTTTCACTCCTTACCGTTCTGACTCCTTCCACCCTGATCGTCTTGATCTTCTTTTGTGAGGATGATTTCAAAGTCATGATGTATCACTGTTCCCTGATGCTCCTGCAACTTGGATAGGTCCAACACAACCTCTCCCAGGATTCGACTTTCCCGCTTGTTCAAGGAGTTGCAAACTGAAGTTGGGCAGCAGGGTGAGTAGGAGAAGAGGAGAAGGAGGAGGTACCAGTAATCTCCAACAATGAGGTGTCGGGGTCGTCTATGGTGATGGCAAACTGCGAGAATCTGTCTCATCTCACACTCATCCCAGCTCAGATCCACCTGCTGATTCCAGACAGGGTCTGAAGTTCCACGGCATATCTCGGTGAAAAACGCATTGCCGACGACCTCGTTGTGTTTCGATATCTGAATCTTCGCCAACAAATTATTTTGTCTGCTATCCCACACCAATCCCTCCTTCCCTTCCTATTTCTCCTCGTCTCGCCATCCCTCATCCTTTCCTCTGCATCCTTCACCTTACGATCTCCTGGCCCTCCTCCTCGACACATCTCTTCCCTTCCCCTCTCCCTCTCCTTCCTCCCTTCCTCCCTCTACCTTGCAATAGACGTTCGGCGGCTCGCTGCTCTGTAAGTCCTTCACGCCTTTCGCCTCCGCCACCACCACCATCGCCGCTCCTTGCATGGCGGTCGAAGTCATTCTTGTCAACAGCCAGGTCAATTTGACAAACATAACCGCCACGTAACGTCAGTCATAGCGAGCCGCGTATCAGCAGTACGGCCCGTACTGGTCCTCTACTCACCTGATTGTCCTCGTTCGTAACTTTGAGTAAAGTCTACCACACGCAGTGCTCTCGGAGTACTCCCGGGCCGGGAGGATGACAGTACCGTGTCCATGGGCCCGGCCGGGAAACGGCGTCACTTAGATGCTTCATGTGACGTGTGTTTACTTCAAAGTTCAAAGTGATCTATTCACATCTAATCTCTACAGCTTCAGTGCCTGTATGTGCCTAAGAAATTTAAAGTGGTGGTGACTTTGGCGGTGGTGGTGGTGGTGGTTGCTGTCAGTGGAGTAGGAGGGCTCAGGAGGGGACGAGAGCGCTCAGTATCTGATCTGTCTCTCTACGAACCACTCAGGGGAGGGAAAGTCCCTCACCAGGCTCCCGATCGGCTTCCCGAGCTCGCAGGCCTCCCACAGTAGCTGCAGCCCATCAGGGTCATCGAGGCCTTGCACAGCAAGGGAGGCATCAGCCTTGAACGCGATCGAGAGGGCGAGGAAGAGGATTTCTCGCAGAGGGTCGAGCGAGTAGGAGCTCTCGGGCAGGTACTCGCTCCTCAGCCTGTACAGCAGGACGGTGTTCTCCACGACCTTGCCGGAGACGAGAGTTTCACAGGTACTCCGCAGGCGATCCCGGGGGGCCGTTGCTACAGTCTCGTAGGCGGTCCTTAGGTACTCCGAGTATGCCAGAGATAGCTTCCCGAGCACGTCAACAACTTTCCACGAGATCTGCATCCAGCCCTCTATGTCCGAGCGCAGGAGAGTAGTATACAGAGGGTCGTCCTGTATCCCGTTCAGAGCTGCCACCATGTTGGTCTGATAGCGCATGAAGTCCTCCTCCGAGCAGGGCTCGCCCAGCTCCTGCTCAGCTCGACAGCGGGGGCACTCACACCGGAACCCGAAGTTCGTCTGGAGGAAGATCCTCCTCATTTCCACAGGGTAGTCGAGACTCAGAGAGTAGGCGATGGTCAGCTCCTCCCCAGCTGCCACGTCTCTGATCGAGTAGACCTCGATGTTCTCCTCCCCCCGCACCTCGCAGTTGGGCGAGCAGGAGTGGTCGAAGAACGCTGACAGGTGGTGCAGCCCGGTTTCGAACGCGCACATCTTGCAGCGCGACAGGACTAGCCTCAGCTTCTCAACCCGCTCCCTCGACAAGCTTGGATCCAGCTGGCGGATCCTGTCGCCGAGCCCTTGGAGCACCTCCACGTCCTCCAGGCGCTCGTCGTAGGAGCGCGGGTAGAGGCCCTCTGTGCTGTCAAGGTCCTCCTCTTCTGCTCCGATGAACCTGCTCAGACAGTCGTCGTCTTGCAGCTCGTTCTTAGTCCACGGCAGGAAAGGTTTCTCCCTCAGCACGCAAGTCCCGGTAGGTATCGGGGTTTCGGTCCTGAAGAAACACTGCTGCCCCCCCCTGCCGTCGACAAGGACGCCATGGAGGAGGAAGAGGCAAGTGGGAGAGGAGCTTGCCAGCAGGTTGTTGAGCCTGATCTTCGTCATGACCGACAGATCACCGTGCATGGCCAGGGTGGCCAGGGCCTTGGAAGCCTTGTTTGAGGAGGCGAGGGCCTGTACAGCCTTTGCGATCAGAGTTTCCTCCGTTGGGTAGAGAGCGCAGGCTCTGACGAACAACTCATAGACAAGATCGTTCCTCGAACATCTCAGCGCGCATTCGATCGCATGCTCGAGCGCGAAGCGATCGGCTTCGTTGGTACGGAACAGGTCGTGGTACGTAGCTAGCGCTTCTTCGTAGTTACCTTCGCGGAAACGCTGGTTCGCTTCGCTCCTGGTCTTGTCTTGTCCTCTCCTCATCTCCTCCTCCTCATCTATCGCTCCTCCTCCTCTTCGCTGCTCCCCACCCCCCACATTCTCCACTCGCCCCTTCCTGTCGGAGCACGCGCGCAATGCGTGATCGCTCCCCGATCAGGAGTTTGTATTCCTCTGAGGGGAACTCGGAAAAGGAGAGGAAGCGGGGAGATGCGAGGGAGGGAGAGGGGAGGGGAGGGGAGTGGAGGGGAGGGGAGGGGAGGGGAAGAAAGGGGAGGGGAGGGGAGGGGAAGAAAGGAGAGGGGAGGGGAGGAGAGGGGAGGGGAGGGGAGGGGAGGAGAGGGGAGGAGAGGGGAGGGGAGGGGAGGGGAGGGGAGGGGAGGAGGCAAAAGAAGGATGAATGATCAGCGAGGGAAGAGGGAGGGGATTGGCTGATAGCGAGGAAGGAAATAACAAGCATGTGGGCGGGAGGGAGAAAGGTTGAGGAGACAGAGGTTGCGGGAGAAGGAAAACGATGAGGCTTAGGAGTACGACTGAGAAATAGCATTGACATGAAACCATGACGTATCCCTAGGATCGAATTGCAATTCTATATCCTTTGACGCCCGTGATCTCTTGAAAATCAACTCCCTTTGTTCTTCTCCGTTTGTCTCCTTCTGTTCCCCCCGTATTCTCTTGCTCTCTCCCCTCTTCGCTCATGAAGGAAAGATTTGCTTCATCGCCTTTTCATTTCTCTGCTCAATCGACTCACTTTCTCTGTTGCATAAAGATGCCCGGCAAATTTTCCAACCGCCGCCATCGATTGAGCTAGTCGACGATTCCCCTAGGATACACTCTAGAGCAGAAGCTCTGTGAAGTCTGAAAGCTAGCCGACCATGTGGAAACCAGGAACGAAGGGTCCTGGAGCGACCATTGAGCGAGCCGTCGACGAGAAATGCGACGTCATCGTCAACAAGATGAAACATCTGCCCATATCGGTTCAGAGAAAGAAGCTTCCTATCTATAAGAATCGCTCGCACATCTTGTACCTCCTCGAGAACTACAGGACGATCATCGTTGTTGGGGAGACAGGCAGCGGCAAGAGCACACAAATCCCTCAGTATCTTTTCGAAGCAGGGTGGGCGGATGGAGGAAGGGTTGTGATCTGCACGCAGCCGCGTCGAGTTGCGGCGACAACCCTCGCTGCAAGGGTGGCGCAAGAGATGGGCGTAGAGCTGGGGAAGGAGTGCGGGTACTCGATACGGTTTGACAACATGACGGATCACTTCAGGACGAGGGTGAAGTTCATGACAGACGGGATCTTGCTGCGCGAGATGATGAGCGATCCACTACTGAGCAGGTACTCTGTGATCATGGTGGACGAGGCGCACGAACGAGGGATCTACTCGGATATTGCGATCGGGCTCCTGAAGAAGATCCAGAGGAAACGAAAGGACCTTCGCATCATCGTCTCTTCAGCCACCCTCGACGCCGAGGCCTTCAAGAACTTCTTCCAAGGCGACAAGCCCGAGCCAGGTCCTCCTCCCTTCAAGGACGGGAAGCTGGGGCGTGTCACGGTGATGTCGATGGAGGCCGGGCGGATCTATCCCGTGGACGTCCATTACCTCTCCGATCCCTGTCAGGACTACGTCAAGGTCTGCGTTGAGACGGTGAACGCCATTCATGCTCGCGAGCCTCCGGGTGACATCCTGGTGTTCTTGACGGGAGCAGAGGAGGTGAACTACGTGATCTCAGCTCTTCATGCTGAACCTGTGGAGGGGGCTCACGGCCTCACGATCTCCGCCTGCCCCCTGTACGCCGCGCTGGCTGTCGAGCGACAGATGGAGGCGTTTGCGGATACCCCGGCCGGGATCAGGAAAGTTGTTGTGGCGACAAACATCGCGGAGACTTCGGTGACCATTCCTGGGATCGTTTATGTGTTGGACTGCATGTTTGTGAAAATCAAGTCGTATAATGCGAAGCTCGGGGTAGACTACCTGACTGTGATGCCTGTCTCCGCTGCGAGTGCCGTGCAGCGATCAGGGAGAGCAGGGCGTGTGCGGTCAGGAAAGGCCTACAGAATGTGCACAGAGAAAGATTTCAGGTCACTGCCAGTAGCTTCCATACCCGAGATGCAGAGGTCGGACTTAGTAGCTGTTATCCTGCAGCTCAAGGCGCTTGGGGTCGACGACGTTCTTCATTTCGACTTCCCGTCTCCTCCTCCGGCGCTGAGCCTGGCAAGAGCGCTCGAAATCCTCTACGCACTGGGGGCCCTTGACGACGATGCGAAACTAACGGAGCCGCTGGGGCTGCAGATGGCTGAGTTTCCCTTGGAGCCTCCCCTTGCAAAATTTCTGCTCTCTTCGGGCAAGGGAGGATGCTCGGAAGAAGCGCTCACCATCGCCGCCATGTTCTCAGTTCAGAATGTCTTCGTACAAGATGGCGCGGCAGATGAAAAGAGCGCCAGGCGTCATTATGCCGTGCGGGAAGGCGATCAATTGACGCTAGTCAATGTTTACAACGCCTTCGAGTCAAGCAAGCGAAGTCAACAGTGGTGTCAAGCTCGGCGCGTCAACTACAGGTCGATGACAAGAGCGTGCGAGACGCGGAAGCAGCTGGCTGCCTACGTCTCCAAGCTCGGAGTTCCTCTCGTCTCCTGCGGGAGAGAATCGGAGGTCCTGCGTCGATGCATTGCCGGCGCATTCTTCTGCAATGCTGCTAAGCTAGAGGCGGACGGTGCGTACAAGACGATCCGTGGGGAGCAGCGCGTTCAGATACATCCTGTCTCTGTCATGCACCAGCGAGGGGCACAATGGGTGCTCTACCACGAGGTGGGGCGGTGAACACGATGACAGTTGTTGCTTTCCCACCTTTGATTGCGATCTTATCGCTCATATTCTTGTTTACATCGCTGTTTCCATGTATCTTTGCTTCTTTGACGGCTTCTTTGCAGCTGATAGTTACCACGAAGCCATACATCATCGGCGTCTGCTCCATCGAACCGTAGATCACTTCCTTCTTGTACTTCGAGCCCTTGACCCCATCGCTGCAGGCACTGGCTGAGTGAAGTTGCTCCTCATTTCTACCGCTTCAAGCCTCCCAAAGGCGGTGGTACGCCGGACGTCGAAGGCCAACCTCCCGCGAAGCAGATGAGGAAGACTTGAATACACTGAACTCTTTTCATCGCCCTAAATTCGTTGCCTTTTTATCATCACCCTCTTGGTATCGCATTCGTCGAGTGAAACACAGTCACACTCGCCCTTGTGACGCAGCAAGAGATGGCAAGGCTACGACGCTATGATACATCGAAACTTCCTCTCTTCCTCCCCCGCCCTCCTGCTGCCTCTACCTTCTCCCTCTCCTCCCTCCTGACATTTGTCGCTAAGCCACGACGGGTGTCGCCCCTGACTGAAACTTTCTTTTGAACCAGCCTTCCTTGTCCTCAGTAGCCTCAAGCTCGACCCGCTCGATCTCATTGTGAACCATCAGGTTGTGTCGCATCCTCTTCTTTGCGTCCTCTGGCATCTTTTCGATCCTCGCTTTCCCCTGCTCCAGCGCCTTCCGCTGCAGCTCGGCATCCAGGGATTCGAACTGGGCTATGACCATCCCTATCTTTGCCTCCTGCAACGTCATGCCATCCTTGATCGCATGCAGAAGATGATTGTGAAGCTCGCCTTCATGCCGTCCTGACTTCGCCAGCACCGAGTCCTTCGTGCCTTTGTCCCTCACGTCGACTGTCACCGAAGCTTCTTGTTTTACCAACTCTTGAAGCGCTTCCCTTGCGCACACGAACTTCAGCTCGTCTTCATCGGACAAGGGCAGGCGAATCTTCTTCGGCGATGTAGGTGGCACCATGCTGTTGTAGATATGCATCCCATCCTGAGGACCACGGTGCAAGAAGAAAAGTTGCTCCTGTGAAGAGGAACGAGTCAACATCTACATACGGAGGAATACCATGTCGAATCAAAGATAGTTCCATCACCACACAAGTTCGCAACGAGATGACACGATGGAACAGCATGAATCGCTCTCTGACGTCTCAACACTCGAATATGGCATCTCACCTGGCCCTTGACCTCAGGCGGCACGTCAGCTCTTCTTGAGGTGCTTGAAGCTTCTTCCACTGTTTGTGCTTGACATGTCACAACCAACAACATGCTTACGATCGTCATCGTCGTCATCGTCATCGTCATCGTCGTCGTCGTCCTTGTCGTTGTCCCCGTCGTCGTCTTGTTCACAGCCATTGTTGTAGTCGCTCTCACCACAACCATCAAACTCGGCCTACCCCTCCTTCTGACCCAAATTCTACCCCTCTCTTGACTACCCACCCCATTCTACAGTTGTGTGACCACCTCCCAATCAAATGAAACTCCATCATTACCCGTAATGATGAGGTCAGTGAAAGGATATAAGTATGGGTAGGGTAGTTCACCCCTACCTTATGCTTCTATCTTACCACCTACCCTCACGAAATGCGTGAATGTTCTAGATGACGTCCCCAGCAAACAGAATCCCCAACCCCCCAATTCAATTGAGTACCCCTTATTTTGCTACCTCTACCCCTAATCTGTCTGATGACATATACCCCTGAAATCTCGAAATTTGGTACCCCTACCTACCCAATTGCTATCTCCACCCCTTCAAGGATATCTACCTTACCCCTCCCCCGACAGCGATAGCAGCATGGCAGTGTGGAATGTGTGCAGTTCGAGATGGGAGGCGGGGGAGGGTGAGGAGGGTGAGGAGGAGGAGGAGGAGGAAAGCTGAGATAGGAGAAAGAACAGGGTGAAACTTTGGAAGAGCAGAGGAAAGGAGGAGGAAGTTGGATCAGAACCAAGGCGCGAAAATCAGCTGGAGGGCAGAGCTGCCAAGGATCAGCGTGTCAAGGCAGGGAGTGCGGTGATGGTGAAGTCGACGAAGATGAACGAGTTCAAGGAGGAGGAAGGGGATAGGATTGACTGAACAGGATCAATCATGAAGTCACAAAGGAAGTTCTAGGTTGCTGCTGCTAAAGAGAAGGAGAAAAAGAGGGTAATAGTGAGGGTGAGGGTGAGAGGGCAAGAAGAATATTTCTCTAGTCGTTCATAGTAGTCGAGGAAATCAGGAGAATGGTCTTTGAAACAAATCGACTATAGAACAGCAGACATATGGATGCTATGCTAGAAGGTGGGTGTGTACGAAGAGCAGCCGACAAGACAGGACAGGAGGTGGGGGAGCGAAATGCTACGTTGGCACACCTGAGTTAAATTTGACATGTGCTGCTCTTCACGTCACCTCGCTGGCTCTGTCTATTGACCCTGCAAATGATTTGACACCGACCCTCTGACTTGGATGGCCAGATGCGGAGTTTCGTGCTTGCAGCGTGTATCCTCCTCGCGCTGAAGTCAGTGGCAGCCAACGACGATGAGGGGCAAGGTGTCGCTAGAAGCTTTCTTTGGCGATGCTTTCCCTGATCCTTGTCGAAAGAATTCGAGGTTGTAACTTGTGGATCGGCGATCAACCTGGTGCATGTACAGTCAAGGTCGGTTCAACCTTCCTCCGCCTCCGCCCTCCATCTAAGCGAGTTTCAACAGGTACCGGCTGCACTCGCATGAAGTAGCGTACGGATCCGGATCTCGTCAACAATCTGGTGCGAAGAAACCCTTTCCTTCCTCTCTTCTCCTCGCCGTGACGGAATCTGTGCAGTGACGGCCGTCAGCTTCTTAGCGGACCCCAACAGGTACCGAGACGTGGAAACTTGTTTCATTTGATTTATGTGGTAGTCTGTGGGTTGTCCGCGGTGAACATGGAAAGCAATGCCCCCAGGGCACTCAGGTTTGACTAGCTCCTTCCTTTTCTCCGTCCCTTGAAACCTGAAATGTTGTGTTCCCCTGATCACCCTGATCCTCCTGACAGATCAAGAACGGCGACACAATCCGCCTGACTCATCTGAACGTGAGTTTGAGCTCAGAGAAACCCTGGCACCTGGTTTAATCGAGATGTCTTTGTTACATGCAGACCAAACGAAACCTCCACAGCCATTTCTTTGAGTCGCCGCTCTCAAAGCAGCAGGAAGTGAGCGGGTTCGGAGACAAGTCGTCAGGTGTAGTGCTGCTCTACTTCCAGCGGCCCGAGTAATTGTTGTTGGATACTGCAGGCGACTCAGGCGATGAGTGGGTGGTCGAGATGAAAGATGAGGATTATTGGAAGAGAGGTCTCTTGCCCTCCACTACCTTCGCCTCCTCACGGTGCTCGTCCCAGGAAAGCGCTTCCGCCTCAAGCACAAGGCGACCGGGGCTTATCTTCACTCGCACTCGAATGTAGGCTGATGATGATGATGATGATGATGATGATGAGTGGGGGTGGTGATGGGGGTGGAGGTTGTGGTGGTGGTAGTGATGCTGATGCTGCTGGTGCTGCTGGTGT